AGTGCTACATTCCCCTTTTTATTAAATTATTAACATCCGGCTGAAATTTCGTAAATACCTTCATCTCATCGTAACCTACAAATATTTTATTTAAGAAAATTCCGGAATTGGGGGCGTTTTCAATTTGGAGACCACCAAACTTTTTCTATTTAATTAGGTACTAAAAACTCGTAAACACTTATTTGCTTCCCACTGTAATCATGAGATAATTTGAGCACAAAGTCGAAAAAAAAAGATGGTCTTCGGCCGTTTAGCGTGACCTACACTCCCAAATATTCAAAATACGAAGTTATATAGGCCAAACGGCTCAATGTTTTTGAAGGCCACCTTTTTTCTCAAATTAATTTACGATTAAAGTGGAAAGCAAATGGGTACTTACGAGTTTTTAGTACCTAATTAAATAGACAAAGTTTGCCGATCTCCAGATTGAAAACGCTCCACTTCTAAGAATTTTCATAAATAAAATATTTGTGGGTTACAATGAGGTGGAGCTATTTACGAAGTTTTAGTCGTATGTTAATAATTTGGTAAAAAAAAGGGTCCGAAACAAATGACTAGAACTGATTTTCATAAAATATAAAGTATATAAATGGAATTTTTAGTAATATAAAAGCATTGCACTGCTGCAATGTCGAGAATTCCGAATTTAAGATGCTATTTTTGTGAATTTTTGTGTGACAAAGCTTATTAACACATATATGCCACCTTAGGTCGTATTATAAAATTCATTAATTTCCGGTTTTCCAGATAGTTTATTTCTATCCTTCGTAAAGTATACGGAAGAGATCAAATAGAGATATTTATTTCCCTAGGGATAATATAAAACCATCATTATCTTATCCTGGTATGCGAATCGCGATGAATCGACAGGATCTATAGATATCAGTGATGGTGGAATCTGTGACTTTTTTTTCTTAGAGTTCCAAGTCTTCTTTTGAGTTGATGAGTTACTTCTAAAGACACAAACTAATTGTCGGGAGTTACGTTCCTATTACTTCCTTTCAACGAATCAGAAAGCTGTAAAACATATTTTGCAGGTAATGGTAGGCCATATTTCTTCTTCTTCATCAATTCTTTAAAAATATAGGGTTTCTCTTGAATGAATTTGAAAGTTCTGGGGTCGTAAAGATATGAAACAATGATATCTTCGGTCTTACCCATTTACATGCCGAAATCCAATCTACACTTTCGCTAAAATATTCAAAGGACAATATTTGAGATTACCCCACCAAATCTCTGTAATTAGATATATTAGAGATAAAGAAATATAATTTTCTCATTTCATCTATAGTGGTGGGCTTAAATATTTCCATCCCATTAAGATTTCCCATACTCTGGTAAATTCTTGCTCTCAAACAATTGTATATTGGGTACTTAAATAAAACATGTCTATTTTTTTTTAGTGTTACACATTTTGGACTCATTGGTCTCACCTATTTCAAATAAATCTTCATTATTTGGCAGGTGAAGCATATCTCGTTGATTTCGTCACTAATTATATATTATATAGATTTCGATGAAACTTCCTTCATTTTTACTTTGTATACTTCATATATACTTTTTGAGTTATTCGGAATTTAATTTTACCATCCCTAGTAACTTTTTTTCCAGCTTCTTTTCGTTGAAGTACGTTGCATAGATAAATTTAAAGGGTGTCGAGAAAATTACTTTAGCAAAGTTTCATTGAAATCGGTACATTCGTTTAGGAGCTACAGTCTATAGCAACGCAGGTTTTTCTGCATTTTTATTTGTTTCTCCTTTATTAACTTATCAATTTTTTTCAAAAGTTATATTTAGCATTTTTTCGTAATTCTGAATAATGTAAAATGATTAACTTTTTAAAATAAACCATATTAAAGGTACTTTAGAACACCAGCGGATCCAGGATTTAATTTTGGGGGAAGCTTCAGCCCGAAAGATTTTTTTTCGTCATATAAATATAACAATAATTAATTTGAAAAAAAAAGAAAGAAATTAACTACCTATATGAAATGGTGTTTAAGTGATTCCTGAAACAATTACAGGAACAAGAATATTGTAAGAGATAGTTTTTAATATTTTTTTCTGTAAAACATGGTTATATTTTACCATTTTGGGGGGGGGCTTCAGCCCGAAAGCCCTTCTCCCCCTCCGTAGATCCGCCTGTGCTTTAGAAGAAGACGTATATGAACATTGGGCATATAAACCCTGTAAAGTTACATCAATGCGGATAAGACCTAATTAATTTTAAATACCACTTAATTATACAATGATACACCGAGTTTAATAAAAAACGTTAGAGCCGTTTTTGAGGAAATCGTGAAAATGTGTTTCAGCGCTGATATAAAATGGCACTTCCAGTTAGCCGATTTTAAGGAAAAAGTTGCTGTGACATTTAATGTATATATCTATCTTAAATACGTAATATCAGTTTCGTACGACTTTTCGGTTTCGAGCTACAAAGTTCACATACACACAGACCATTTTCGGGACCTGGTTATTTGGATCAGAGTACCCCAAAACTTGTATTTCCGTTGAAAACTCAGATTCAAAAATTTTCTCGATCGCAATACTTACTCTTACTATATAGTACATATATACACGTAAGTGAAAGTAAAAAATATTTGACGTGACGCCGAATTAGAGAGTCGGGAAAGGGAAAAATATAGCGCCAAAAAATCACGAATCATAACGATGGTTTTTAACATTTCATATTTTTATTTTATATTATTAATTCCGCCTTGTTTATTGTTTTCACTTTTGTCGTGTGGTTTTATAAGCACACACCAGAGTGTTGTTTTTTTCAATGTTATGAGATTCATAATTAATTCTAGAAATATCTTTTTTATTAAACTTATGAGACGAGTAATTCATCATAAAATTATTTCAGGTACAGAAATTAATTTATTCGAACTAAGTGACACTTAAGGCAGTGTCAATGACTCTATAGAGATCTGAATGATTAGACAAAATAAGGAAGTGTTCTAAATTACACAAAATGACAGTGTGTTTTACGGAAGAAAGAGGTCCTTAGTTAAATTAAACAGATGTTTGTAGTATTAATTACAAATCTCAAATTATGAACTTATTAATTATGAACTTCAAATAAATATTCATAATTTTCAAATCATTAAAGTAAAAAAAAATCAGTGATGCTTTTAAAGCAGAAAAGAGCCAAATAGCCTATTTATACACTCGGCCTAACATTGTTTATTATAGTTACTTAGTCTATACTACATTGTCTATTAGCACTGTCTATAATAGTAATCACTAACGGATCCAGGATTTAATTTTGGAGGGGCTTCAGCCCGAAAGTTTTTTTTTTGTATGTATATATTAGGATAATTAATTCGGAAGAAATAAAGAAGCTAACTACCTATATGAAATGGTGTTTAAGTGATTCTTGAAGTCCTATTAAATGATGTGATTAGACGAACAATAATACTTTTAGATATCATTTTTTTCATAAAAGATGGTTATATTTTACCATTTTTTTGGGGGGGGGAGGGCTTCAGCCCGAAAGCCCCTTCTCTTCTCCTTCCACCATTCCCCCGTTTCCCGAATCTACAGGAATCCGCCTATGATAATTAAGACTTAATATTGTCAACACTTGTATGAAATTAAAAGAATAAATTATTTTAATTTTTAATATAAAAAATTCAATATTATTAAAAATAATAATTATATACTGCTTAAGTTTTAACATAAAATAGCAATGATCTTTGACTATTATTTTCACTATTTATTTGTTTTTCTCTTCGCCTCAGGTTGTGCTTTTTCTTTCTGGTATATATGTTTATATTTTATACTTTTTGTCGCTCTGTGTACCAATATGAGTATGTACGTATACATAGTTCCTTTTTTTTTTTCCTTTATACCACAAGTAATCCTGAGATTTTATTTTATCTTTGTGTTTGCATATTATTATATGAATCACTGTAGATGCTATTACATTTTGTATTAAATTATTTTTCTATTAGATAGCCTATTGTATATAAATTGGGCAGTTATGTGTATATAGATATGTAATTTCTTTTCTTTCTTTTTTTTTTTTTCATCACAATATTAAGTAATTTTGAGAAGATTTTATGTTCATTTATATATATATATATATATATATATATATATATATATATATATATATATCTTTTTTTTTTTTTTTTGTTTATTTCTTAGTGGTTAGATACTACTTTTTAAATAATGCATATAATGTTAAAAATTTTATACGTTAGTTTTTGGCCAGATTTGTATTTTATTTTATTTTGTATTAATTCATCTTTGTTATGCTAAGGGGACTTAGTCCCAGAATAAAGTTCAATTTTCTATTATATTATATTCTACATGAAGTTAGTTATATAAACGAAAAAGAAGCTTAAAAAAAAATTTTTTTTGTCTATAAAATATGTATTTGCACCTGTCAACTTATTGTTGACAATCAGCAAATGTGATGGCGATACATGATATGACAGGCATGGGGAATAAATTAAAATTAATGTTTTTTATAATAATTCATGAATGAAAATGTAACTAGGTAAATAAGTTATGTGCGTTATTTCTGTTAAAATTCAAAAGTTTTTATTCAAAAGTTATATTTTGATCTTTTTTAAAAGAATAATCTTAAGAAATTAGTTTCATATGAACCAAATAAATTTATGGAAATTAAATTTAAATCCACGTATTAATAAGCTTTAGAAAAATGATGTTCCGAGAACAACCTTTAATTAATAATAGAATAACTATATTTTAAAATTTCTTGTATTTAAAATGTTTGAGAATATTGAGAAAATATTCAACATTAAATATATTTAAACGTTTAATTTTAGAAACCAAAAATACCAATAATCACTTCATTAATAATATTTTTATATAAGCATTTGATGTTTTAACATATCATAAAATTTAAGGTATGATCCTAAAATTGTAGATGTGAAATAAAAAGAATGTTTTATTGAGTCATTATTTATTTTATACCTAAAATGTAAGATATGTGTACATTTCATCATTTCAAAAGACCATGAGCCGGTAAAGTTACGCGCCGTTAAAAAAGTACCTTCATCGATCAAAATTTCCTTTCGCCAATACTTCAATGTTTTTGGTATTTATTTCTATCTTTTTAGTTCTTGTTGTTGATAGGAGTAATGTACATAGTACAATTGCACTGTTGGTGACGTCCAATTGGCAATAAATTACGCAACATCTTATGAAAAAATTAATTTCATTCTAAAAATGACGAGTGACATTCAAACATGGCGACTGCGCAGTAGGAGTCAATACCGTAATGTTACCTCTTTGTAGAAAAAGTAATTAGGTTAGAAGGAACTGTACAGTTATGTTTTCTTTTCTTGCCAAGGTTTATGTGAACTTTAAAAAAAAAAATCATATAAGTCCTCAACAATACAGATTGTAATTTACTATTTGTATTTTTTCCTCCAGTTTCAGTAACTTGATATCATATCGGGTTAAGGGTTGGTTTCGACGCCATTACCAGTGGTGAAATTCAGCTAATGTGGAATAGGTGTTGTTCAGTATGTTCGAAAGGTTGACGTGAAATTATATATTGGGAGGAGGTGGAAACATCTTATCAGGTAAGTTTTAAAATTTATCAGAATATTTTCATCTATCCGCCCTGAAGTTCTTCACAGCCCTACTTAAATATGTTTTAGTCCATGTTTTCTAGAAATTTCATTTGAATTACAACCAATAGTTATAATAGTTACTTCATTTACCGTTAAATCAGACCTCTATATCCTTTATTTAAGAGGGCAACTTTAATTTAAGGTGAGAAAAACTGAGATAATAAGCCTACATTCTTAATCATGAATGATTTATGACACACTAACCAAAACAGTGACTCAATAGATCAGATAATCAGAAGCTATCAGTTAATTTTTTTTTTTTAAATACCTTATTGTATTTATGCCACACATAATTGAAACTTTAGAGTTAAAGATTGAAATAATTTTACATTAAATTGTGTGGACTTCCATTGCTATCAAGTGATGTAAATTTGGGTGTCGGATACTGTATTAGAGTCATTGTACCTCCATATGACTTCATGAGGAAGTAATCAATTCATTGTTAAGATAACATATAGTGGTTTTACTCTGTACTAGTTGATAGAAGACTTTGAAATACTTATAACTTTAGTTGCTGTACTAGATACACTATTAGATTTTGAATTAGTATTGCATTTTTATTCTATCATTTAGTTATGTTATTTTGAATCAATTTGTTCTGGTTAGATAATAATACCCCTTGTGAAAGTGTAAATTATTTTATCAAACTATTAGAGAATGTTTCCGATTATGCTTATCATTTGGCGTATTGCTAGGAACTTCAATAACTAAATTTGCAACAGTTCGTACATTTTAAGTAAGTCAATGATATAAACTGTATCTATTATATTAATTGTGTCAACATCAACATTTTTATGATATAACTAATAATTAGAGCTTTTGTTTAGAATATAAATTTTTTTAAAAACCTTTCTTCATTGTTTATACTTTATTTACACTATAAGCATTATTTTAAACAATTACAATTTGCCCTTAGTTTTAATGTGAAAATATAGGTGTTTTTTTCTGATACACATGTCAGTTGAGATAAGAACATGTGTTGTCCACTTGAGTGGTGAAAAAAAGATAGTAGAGAGAAAGTGAATTTGAAGGAGTTATTTATCTATTATTATTTATAACAACAGTTGTTTTCTATTTTTCATACAACTAATGTATACCAGATATTTTTTTTTAATTTATAGGATTTATTAACGTTTACTAATTAATTAAATTGAACTTTAAAACTATTTTTTTATTTTTTCCAATAACTGACTGTCTGATGTTTTATACAACTACAACTTACTTATAAAAATAAAATAAATTAAAAAAAAAAAAGGTACATTTCTTGTTTGTGTAATATTGTCATCATTTATATCCTAAATATTTTATGAACGTACAAAATAATAAAACTGATCAAAATAATCAATATAGTTCATGGTACATTTATTTGATATAATTTTAAAAGTGCATTTGTCACTTTTAAGTGTGTAAGTAAGTAAGTGCCTCTTACTCAGCCTTGAAGAATTCATCTATTCAAGGATTTATTTTAATTCTTTGCATTCAATTGTTATCTATGAAATCTTTCCATAATGTTATATAACTTGTAAGTTTGATTTAGGTATATTTAAATTCTTATTTAAAATAGAAAGTTCCTTCTGAAAATCACCTTATTTTTTTTTCTCTTATGAGGCATCTAGGAGATTTACATAAAGTAATCAATGACCGTATTATTATATTTTTCAATATTAATGAATTGTAAATACGTCCTTATATATCTTCACTCTATTGTATCTGTAATTTTATTTTATCATAGGGTTTCTTTTAATTTTTATGTATGGACCATACTTCCACACTTCAGATGTAGACCACTCTGGGGTCTGGCACACCCAGTCTTCATAAATTATGTATTTTTAATTAATTAAGGGGGAAAATCTGGCGGTTGGGCGTGTTCTTGGTCGATTCACTTCCTATACCTTTTGTAACTTAATGTTTACAGTCAAACTAATACTCACCTTCCCCTATATTAGTCAATTCACTATATGATTTAAATCTTAGTAATAGTAGAGAATAGATGTGTTCACAGTATAACATCCCTTTATTTAAGAGGAGAACTAGTTGGTCGGGAGGGCGTGGTCAAATAAATACAAAATTTTAAAAAATAGTATTTTTAATTTTATAAAAATTGAAGAGTAATTAAAAATAATATTTTTTAAAATTTAGTATTTATTTGACCGCACCACCTGACCAACTCCTTCTCCTCTTAAATAAAGGGATGTTATACTGTGAACGCATCTATTCTCCCAATAACAGTTATACCATGATCTTGGAATCTTGACCCACTCATCAAAGTGGAGTGACACTTGTATAGTAGTGCCCAAGTACCTTTTCAAAATTCATTTTATATATATATATATATATATATATATATATATATATATGGCTTTTATAATTTCAGGATGCCGCTCCCGAAAAGGACGGTGGAGCCTGTACACATCTCTCGGGGGACCCTCCCCGAAGAGATGAACTTTCCATCGGAATTGGAGGCAGTTACTAACGGATGCTTAGCTAATGCTGTAAGGCAACTATCTTCTCTGTCCAAACATGCCGAGGACCTCTTCGCGGAGTTGACACGTGATTCCAAAGGAATAGCTGCTAGAGCCAACTCACTACAGGCACGCCTCGACAGACTTGCTCTTAAAGTCACCCAACTCGATTCCACTGTTGAAGAAGGTATTTATTTTTTTATTTTTTATTTTAAATACCTTGTTTCTTTTACTAGTTTAAAATATTTTAAATAATATTCTATTTTTACCTAGTTTCTCTGCAAGAGATTCACATGAGAAAAGCTTTTAAAAGTTCGGTCGTATTTGATCAACAAGTTGTTTCGAGGGATACAATGCCTACGGCTATGATGGAGACTTACAAAGTTTGTGACAAACCTCCACCTCTTGACAAACTTAATGCTTACAGGTAAATTTAAGTTATATTAATTATAAGTTATAGGGCCTACCTTATGAAAGAGTTATAAGTTTCTATTTATTCTAAATTATTAACTGATAGAGAATTAATGTAAACTAATTCGGGTTTTCCCTCCTCCTTGCCATTTCTGGATTACTGAGTGTTTATTCTATCGTAACCTACCTACTCTAGCCTGAATGAGTAGGTTGATATTCATTTCATTGGCAATGCCTTAACACACTCATCCACCACATCATCAAACTAATTATTTTTTCGTTTCCCTTCTACCTAGCCATTTCTGACTTATAAGGTTAGATTATCCTACCGATTGGCCACTTGTTTAGCCAGAGTTGGAAAGTTCTTATAATCATTTAGTTAGTTTGTCTCAATTTAAATTTTGATTAGTTATATTGTAAAAATTAACTGCTTAAGAAAATATAATTACTGAACTTTCAAAATCCATGAAATTTTCTTTTTAAATGCTTCTTGGAGACCCTAAGCAGAAAACAATCCATTTATGGCCAATAGAGTGTATATGCCACAATTATCTCTTGAACATATGAACCAATTTTTTTTTTCTTGTTTTTGTACGAAAAACTTGTTTTTCTTCAGCAGCATGATGTTTATAGTCTCCTTCTAGAAGCCTTATAAATTTTTATTATAGTACAATTCTAAGAAGAAAAGTTATGATGATAGTTAATTTTATTAGAAAATAATTTAAAAAGTAAACACTTGTATGGAATACTGTATGGAAATATATATGAGTAGGCTCTCATGAAAATCTATTTAGTTTCTATTAGTTGTTCAAATAATTTCAATACATTTGAAATATTGGAAAAAAAAAAATATAACATTGTATTGGACTTTATAGCCAAATCAACTAATAATTAATATTTTCACAACCCTAAAAAATAAATAAATAAGTAAGGGATTTAATTAATAATAGAAAAAAAATATGAAACGAAATTATCATGAATTTCGGTAATGTTTTTTTGTTTTTCAAATTGTGGCTGAAATTCCTGACAATTCTGTTTCATCCTTATAATTGATCAGTCGACTATTTACCCATCTCCATACAAAAAAATATATAACAATTTTAAAGCCTAAGTTAAAGTTTCAAATACCTCATTAATTTTTGTGAAACTACAATACAGATTAAAAAATTGCATGATTGGCCTTAAATATTCAGCATTGGCAACCCACCCACTAATTAAATAAAATTTAACATCAATACAATTGTCTCTGTGGTTTCAATTCCAAAATCATAATTTTTTTTAATTAATACCATAGGTTGAATTCATGTGAACTTATTTTGTTCATTTAGTGATTTATTGTTCATTCAATTTATTGTAGAACAATTATTATCTTTAGAATTATCAGTAATAGTCCTGGTTTGTATTTCATAAAGGAATCATGGTCATACTGATATCTTTTTTTTTTTTTTTTTTATATATATTTGATTTAATTGAGTTATAAATCAAATATCAATAAAACTATAATTTTTCCTTGTGACAAAACTAAATTAGATTTTAAGTAATTGTATTTTCTCCAGTCATGGTATAAAAATTTAAATTAGGTGTTAAAGATTCATTATGCTTTCCTCTAACTATCTAATATTTGTTTCATGTAATCCCAAAATGAGATTTTTTTTTTTAATATTTAAACTTTTGAGACTATGTAGTATGCCTATCCATAGGTTTTTATTCCCTAATTACAAGACATTTTAGACATCATACATGTCCTCTTGTGTTTTATATTTTAAAAATCAAAGAATTACATGATGGACACATGATCTACCTAAGAGAATTTGATTTGATGAAATTTTCAGGGATTGTGGCGGTTGCTTTCTAAATAGTTCTCTAACGATTTTATAAAATTCCGTCTACTTCTTTCGCTTAGGCATGCATTTTTCTTTGAATGACAATACTTCAAAAACGGCTTCTCTAGTAAACTTCATTCCCAAATGACAAATCATAAACTTTAATAATAGGTGTATTAGGTATTTACGTATTCGTTAGAAATGGTGAAGAAGCTATGTTGACCCTAGTTGGCCAAGGTCTTTTTTATTTCTATTTGAAAAAATTTTAATTTGTTACAAATCTTGTTAATGTGTGTTTAACAAACTATTTACATTTATTTTACCTTAATTTATTTTGATATACATTTATGGTGAAGTGTACTAAATGTTTATGTTTTAAATTTACAGGGAAGATGGAAAAGATGGCCTCAAGTTTTATACAGATCCTGACTATTTCTTTGATCTTTGGCGCCAAGAAATGCTTAAGGATACCGAAAGGATGATGCATGATCGTTGCAAGAGGGTAACTTTTTTTAAAAATTATTTTTCTTAATCTATGCATTAAAAGATCTAGTTGTTAATAAACAAACATTTTTGTATGGGCAGCCTCACAAGGTAAGGGCCGAAGGAGGTAGGCAGAAAAAGAGAGTGCGACAACCTCACAACACCCGCGAGAGACAGCGCCAAATAGCTGTCGGCCATGGAGAATATATCATGCCTCAGACAACTATAGGTACTTTACAGTATCGCTCATCTATTGACCATGCTCACATGCAGGTAAAATTTATTTTTTTACTTATAAAATTTAACATATTTAGAATCAACTTACTTAGTTAGACAGTTTAAATTTGTTGAAAGATAATTTATATAGAATAACATCAGTTTCTCAAGATTGAACAAAACATCCAAGGAAGTAATAGGTATTTAGGAGAAAAATTAAAATCAAGAATCCATATTAGCATCCGGAAAGATGGTAGAAAGAGGAAAAATAATCATCCTTTGCCTAGCCTAAACTGAACAAGTTTCTCCGGACAATTATACATCCTCCAGGAAAAAGACAAACAAAATTATAACATTGGGAGAAGAGAATTACTCAAAGAAAGGCTGCATCATTGAGGACAACTGTTGGCAGAAAATCTACTCTAATTTTAAGCAGATCTTTGGAAAGAACTGGTAGGAATAAAGCGATGAAAATATGGCATCCTAACGCTCCCAAAAGAAATGTATAATGATGCCATGTTCTTGAAATTTAATGCAACCTATTTGACTTAGACTTTTCCCCTCTCCTCTCCCTCCCCTCCCCCCATGTTCTTTATAATTTTTTTCTTTATTAGTAAGTATTGAGATTTAAAAGAATTTGTTTAATTTGTGCAAGGCATCAGTTAAAACAATATAATTATAACTTATATTAGGTTTAAAATGGTATTCATCAAGATCACAGTATAAGTTTTTTTAAATTTGTCATTAAAAATCCTTGAACTGCCAGCAATATTTATTTTGAGACATTTGCTATTCCAAACAGTATGAGGAAGAGAAAATGAGCTTATGTGTTAATATTACCAAATTGGAATAAAACTAATGTTTATATTTGTTAGAGTAAACTCACCAGTGATGGATATAGATAAGGAAATTTTAGTCTTTTTTTAGCTTATGCCTCCATAATTATCATAGTTATAAACTTCTCCATTTGACGTTTAGAATCTCTAGGGTCTCCTTTTTCTATTTAACACTTTAAAATTGAAAAAATATACAGTTATGCATGTATAATCTCCATTTAAAAAAAAAAAAACACCTTTTTGCACTAGTAATGGACATCCCGAAATTCAATTGTTCTAGTATTGGACATTCCTCAGAAAAATTCTAAAATCCTTTTTCTAAATATAAAGATAACATAAGATAAATGTTCAACTTACTCTTCACAAAACTGTTTGTAGGAAGGTATGGAACATCCTAATCTCAAGAACATTATAAAAACAACAATGATTGGCATTTTTAAAATTTCTGAGGAGAGTAAATGCCACATAAGACCAACACCATTATTGGTGAAGAGTTGGAACCACCAGATGAAGAGGATATTAGAGACACCATAGATTGGTTAAAGAATGATAAAGCGCCATGTGTGGACGGAATACCGGCTCAACTTTGGAAACACGGTAGAGAAGTTATCTCTAAGTATATCGAGAATCTGATCTTGGACATCTGGGTAGAGGAGTGCATTCCTGAAGAATGGTATAAAACTATTGTTTGCCCATTCACAAGAAGGGGGATCCTCTTAATCGCAAGAACTACAGAGGGATATCCATCCTTTCCTCTGCTTATAAGATATTTATCCAATGTTTATTGCCTTTCATTGAAAAGAAAATAGGCCAATATCAAGCAGGTTTTATTATGAAAGGCAAAGCTACGACGGACCAAATCTTCTCGAGGAGAACGATGATGCAAAGAGAGGCCGAGTATAATATCCAGACCCACTACATCTATGTGGATTTCCGAGCTGCCTATGATTACGTGATTCAAGAGGAGCTTTATTATGGAATGATCGTTCTTGACATTCCTCCGAAGCTAGGCCTTGTCAGAATGACCATGAAGGTTACTTTACTCGTTGTTCAGTGAGAGTGTCTAGAGATACATCTGAGTTTTTCCATTGCCACAAGAGACTCAGACAAGATGATTGTTTAGCATGCTTGCTGTTTAATGTTGCATTGGAATGTCCCATAAGAGGGTCGGGAATCCAAATAGGAGGGATGATTTTCAACAAATCGTGCCAAATTCTTGCTTATGCCGACTATTTGGATGTCGTAGGACGTAGTTTTCAGAGTACGGAGAGGGCCTTCCTAAATTTGCAAACAGCAGCCGTTAAATTTGGACTGCAGGTGAACGCATCCAAAACAAAGTATATGCTCTGCAGTCCTAAAAGAGAAGGGGGAATATCTAGGAGTTAAGAGTAAAAGTTGAGAACTTCAACTTCGAATGTGTCAAGGAATTTATCTAACTTGGGACACTTTTGAACTCAACTAATATGCAACCAGAGAATCAGAGACGAATAATGGCAGCTAATAGATGCTATTATGGGCTACAGAGGCATCTAAAAAGTAAATTTCTCTTTAGGACCACCAAGATATGTTTCTATAAGGCCCTGATGAGGCCTGTCCTCACCTATTCATCTGAGTACTGGACGATGAAGAAAGCAATAGAATCAACTGTTTTGTGATTCGAAAGAAAGATTTTAAGAAGAATTATGGGATCTACGTGTACCAACGGTGTATGGAGATCGAGGAAAAACACTGAGCTTATGAATCTCTACAATGACCTTGATATCGTCCATTTAATAAAAGTTGGGCTTCTAAGATGGGCAGGGCATATTGCACGCATGAATAATAATGAAGTATCCAAAATGCTCCTAGAAGAAAAAATATTTGGACGTAGAAGACTTGGAAAATGCTCAGAAGCTGGTGGGTGTAAGAAATTGGAAAGCAGCAGCAAAAAATAGAGAAGACTGGCGGCTCCAACTGAGGGAAGCCTCGACTCTCCAATGAGTTGTGGGGCTGAAGAAGTATTCATACAGTTGTCAATAGAGTGCATTGTTCTTCAATCTTGAAAAAACTGGAACCTTAAAATCAACAAAGAAACTTATTATTTATATTTGAAGTCAATCCTGTCCATAACTGGTGTGTTAGATCCTAAAATTGTACTATACAAATCTTAATGATGATTGTCATAATAATATTTTTTAGCTTAAGTTGTTGACAAATCAATTTTTATTATTTTAATTTCCAAAATCTAAAGTTTATGCTCATCCATATCGTCCTTAATGTTTTATTTGTAATAATTTTCTGTATTGGTAAAGTATATAATAATAATCACAATGGTGGTTTTTATACAATTATCCCTTACAATAACAATTTTAACAACCAGAATTTTTGCAACTTTCTTCCCCTATCTGCTTCTAATGAGTTGATGTTAATTATTAGATTATATGTCATTATTTGTTTCATTAATTTTAATTTTCAGATTTATGGTACCATGGACAGAGTTGACAATGAAGAACTGAGGCCGTCGAGACCAAATAGTATCGAATTGAAACGAAGTTACCCATCTAAAGTAATCTATAGCCCAACGCAGCAGCACCATAATCAGTATCAGTAAGTTAAAAATTAATTTACACAAATATCTTATTTTTTTTTTTGTTTTTCTTATATTAAAAATTAATAGAATATAGCAGAAGCTGATTGGGAAGATGTAGCCAGTAGTTCTGGTGTCAAATAATACTGCCACCATTATTAAAATATAATTGAAAAATTCCGAACACGAAGACCTGAGCTCTAAAATACAAGTAAATATCCATCTACGTTTCGCTATTACAGCCGTCATCAGAACAGAAATGACTTGAGATCGTGTATATTAGACCAAACACAGTACATCTCTCCTAGACTTCAAAACATACACTTTACTATTGCATATTTAATAGTTAACCGTTGTATTATTAAGGAAGGAGATGGTCCGGGGTGGCGGTCATAAATAGACTAAATAGTGGCAAAACTATTTTATTAAAAGCCAACTAGTACTACTTACCCCCTCTCTATTTATCAACCAGGTCAGCTCCTGGCTCCTAGCTAAACATACCTGTAAGTTTCTATTTTTATTCTTCTAATTTTATTTACTTATTTGTTTATTTTATATTTTTTGGTTTTCTTTTCTTTCTTCACATCCCTTTATGTCCATTATTTTATATTATATCCTTTTTCCTTTTCTTCCAATCTCTCCTGTTGATCTGTAGGAATATATTCACAATTTCATATATTATACTACAACAATTGTTACCACCTATTTACTTCAGTTTGATCTTGTTACTTAACTTACTCTGTTATTTATTTGGTAATTATTTACGAACGGTCCTCCACTCGCCATCTTGGTTGACCTGGTATTATGTCCCGTTTTCTGATAACGTTTACGAAATCTAGCACCAGAAAGTGCCACTATTGCGGAGGGGTTGTCTTGTCCCCTCCACCTTACCTCTGTTTTCAGTAAATATAGAAATTAGATCGTTTAGGTTATATATTACCCGCCTTTTTTTAAATTAACCATTCCTTACCCACCATTAAATAAGCATCGATTGAACACCCATTTCCATCTTATCCACATAATATTTTTATGCTTATACTTTTTATATATCCACATAATATATTTATGCTTATACTTTTTAGATATATTCTGTCACATTTTCAGTCTAATGTGCAGCATACTGTCTTAAACAATTTGTTAAACATTAAACAACTTCATTAACTTAAATTTTTAAATATTTGATGGTTGATCATTGTATATTTTAGATATTTAGATTGTATATATTCAATTTTTAAATACTTTATGCTTGACCATGCTATATTTTAGATTGTATGTACTAAAAAATTTACAATTTTCTATAAGTGTTTTAATGCTGGATAAGGGTTATGTTTTTCATTTATATGTTACTTAAATCTTCTAGCAATAAAACACATTTTCAGTCTACTGAGGTACATACTGGCATTACCAGATTCTAAGGGAAATGTTTCAGGATCATGTAGGAGAGCTCTAGCGATTCATTTAATTTAAAATAATCAAAGAAGAAAACACTACTGACATTCCTTTAAATCTGAACTTGTCAGCAACATTACGAGTTCTTAGCGATTGGTCCCTTGTATATTCCCCTTGGAACCGTACATTTTCTACATAATTAACTATGCCAATCATCGTATCTGTATGATAGACAAGTATCTTAGCAACCTGTATATATATATATAAAACGCAATGCTCCAAGAGGTATTTAGTTAAGCAGTAATCTTTTTCAAACATTAGCTAAATTATGTCAACTTGAGCCTGTAACATTTATAACAGATGCTTTTGAATATATTTTTACCTATGCATCTCAATTATTCACATTTGGTTATTATAATTTCTAAATTGTCTTAATCTCCAATCCAATTTAAATTATCTGACCAGTTATCCCTAGCCATTTCCATTGCTGTCTACTTACATTATCTGTATCTACTTTTAGATAGATATATAGAAAAAAAAACTTTATTCTGGGACTAAGTCCCTTCAGAATAACAATAATGTACAAAATAATAGAATATTACTGGCCTAAACGTTTGAAACAATAAATAAAATTGATAAAATAAAATAAAAAGTAAAGAAAACCTTAGGTGCGCAAGCTATATACAATACAGATAAAACTATGTACAGAGCATTTAAAATTATAAACAAAACAATTAAAACTATGAACATATCACTTGAACTATAAACAAAACTATAAAGTTAGAATGTGTTCATTTCATAAAAAAATAAAATTTTACTTGAATATACATATAAAAATAAACAGTTAATTATAATTGAATAAATAAAAGAAATGTATGTATTGAAATTCCTATGTCGATAGTATGAAATGCATGAACTATCTCTTATCAAGTATTATATTGTTATATTATACTATTGTTATATTATATAATATTATACTAATATTATTTATAATTGTAGTGTTTATATATTGCCCGTTTTTTGTTTTTTTAGCTTCGAGATTCAGCATTATTAATGCTTTTCGCTTTCCTTATCATAAATGAAAGAAGTTTATTAACTTAAGTTTTGTTTTAATTGTGACACTTTATCTCTAATTGTACATTATCTAAGTATGTCCAATATTAATACAATTCAGGAAGAATTAAACAATTTTCTATAAGGGTTTTGATGCTGGATAAGGGTTATACTTATCAATTATATGTTACTTAAATCTTCTAGCAAGAAGAATTAAACAATTTTCTATAATGCTTTTGATGCTGGATAAGGGTTATATTTTTCAATTATATGTTATTTAAATCTTCTAGCAATAAAACACATTTTCAGTCTACTCAGGTACATACTGGCAATACCAGATGACCAGTTATCCCTAGCCATTTCCATTGCTGTCTACTTACATTATCTATATCTACTTTTATATTGTATTGTCTCATTAATTTTTCTGAATCCTGTCAGAATGATTTATTAGGCAAGAAAGTGTAAGTTATCTTCATCATGTGTATTCCGCCAGACGTAACTCATTACCTTCTTCTTCATAAAATGTAAAATGTCCCTTAGTTATATAAATGAAGTATAGACCTATGAAAGATTTAGGTTTTACTTCATCTCATGTTTTGGCTTCCAGCCTCAAACTTTCCAGACATTGTTTAATGAGTTTATTAATTTCTTCCTAAGGTTTCCCTATATGTATTTCAAGACTGTAAATAATTTAACTATCGAGAATGACTTATTGTCCAAATAAGGATAAATTACCACCAGTAATGATCAAATTGACCAAGGAAAAGTAACGTAGAATACCTTATTCTTTTGTGCAAACAAATATATTTATTTTATATGACAGTTATTCGTGAATAAAATATTCAATTAAAAATATCTAATTAACACACAAGACACTTCCTTTGGAAGAAAAAAATTGAAATGCACTTTATAAATGGAAATGGCTAGGGATAACTGGTCATCTGGTATTGCCAGTATGTACCTGAGTAGACTGAAAATGTGTTTTATTGCTAGAAGATTTAAGTAACATATAATTGAAAAATATAACCCTTATCCAGCATCAAAAGCATTATAGAAAATTGTTTAATTCTTCTTGCTAGAAGATTTAAGTAACATATAATTGATAAGTATAACCCTTATCCAGCATCAAAACCCTTATAGAAAATTGTTTAATTCTTCCTGAATTGTATTAATATTGGACATACTTAGATAATGTACAATTAGAGATAAAGTGTCACAATTAAAACAAAACTTAAGTTAATAAACTTCTTTCATTTATGATAAGGAAAGCGAAAAGCATTAATAATGCTGAATCTCGAAGCTAAAAAAACAAAAACGGGCAATATATAAACACTACAATTATAAATAATATTAGTAATATATAATGGTAAAAAAAATTGATGTAGGTAATATGTGTAAATAATAACATCTGAAATATAAAGTTTGGTTAATCGATATATTGAAGATACAAAGAAATCGACAAGTTAAAAAAAATGGTGGGCACTATATATTGTAAAGGTTACAATTGGTAATTATTTGTAATGAACGTAAGGTGGAGGGGACAAGACAACCCCTCCGCAATAGTGGCGCTTTCTGGTGCTAGATTTCGTAAACGTTATCAGAACACGGGACATAATACCAGTTCAACCAAGATGGCGAGTGGAGGACCGTTCGTAAATAATTACCATTTATTTTAATGTACTTACAGTTTATAATTTTAATAAGTTAATTCACATTGTTTATAATTTGTTGTCTAAATATTACGTAACTTCCACAATTCTCTATCTTTTTGTTTCTTGTCCATTTTAGCCCTGAAGAAGACCTGCAAAGTCGGGTCGAAACGTTGGCTTTTAATAAAATAGTTTTGTCACTATTTAGTCTATTTATGACCACCACCCCGGACCATCTCCTTTCTTACTTTACTATTATAGATTTGTTTCATTTATTCTGCATTTAGGTTATTTCTGTCTTGGTGTGTTACTTACTTCAGTGAAGGAAATATGTTTTTTGTACATTTTATTATGAAAATACCTCACATACAGAAGGATATTTCTTTTAAAAAATCTACATAGTTTTTTTTTTTTTTTAACCATTCACAGAACAGCTTCTAGATGGCCAATTTGATAACATAATATACATATTTAAAGCTAAAAGTTTACTCTTTGTAAAATTGCAAGTTAAGGACAGAGTTTTGTATTTGAAAATAAAAATTATCAAAGGTACAAGAATGCATAGTCTATGTACAGATTGAAGGGATTTTTTTTCTAGGAACCAGTAAATTTGGATGAATTATTGAATTTTTTTTTCATTTATCCGCTTCTTCCATTTATTTATCTGATTTATTTATGCTTATTAGGCTATACGGTTGTTGTTTTAAGATTGATGCCTGAGTTAAAATCTCTCCCTCCGACACTAGATGCGAGCTCTTTAAATTATTTTATCATTCAAATTTTGGTTTATCAGGTTGCCAGGTAACACGTGTTTTCCACATAAGTTAGCCCCATTGGGCACCCCATCCCTATTTATTAGGTTATACAAATTACAAGGAATAAATATCATCAAGATTCTACTATTAAAAGTTTTAAGTCCATCTTTCCCCCTTGGGCTCGCTAATAAAATATTTTAGGCTCAAGCACTCCAATGGGCTGTGATCTAGCAGTATCTACGACATCACCATAATCACATTAAACATGATATATTGTGGTAAATCATATAAAGAAAATCCACGTTCCATATCACATGAGCTTCAGCCTTTATTCCCTATGTCTATTTATTTACTTAAGCCATTTTTTCTATTTCAAAATAGATATTTTATTGAGACAAAATAACAATCCTTATTCATTTCTTTTTTTTTTTTTTTTTTTCCAGAGCTAGCCATTATCAGAGAGGCCTCGGCCTTTCCCAAGAAGACTCTGGTATTGGTAGGTATGATGACGAGCAGGGCAGCGTCGGCAACGGAGGAGAGGCAGCCTACACCAGCCCTCGCAGACCCACCCAACCTCCACCAGCTCCTCCGGCGGTCACCAATACTTCTACCAATAGGTTAGGAACTAGATGTTATTAGTACTTACGCTTGTCAAATCTCTAAATGTTTATTTTATCAACATTTGAATTTTTATGACTGCCATATTTACATTTTTGGTGCTAATGGAAATTTCTGTACACTAAGATGGCTGACATTGTTACCTTCTTAATCTGACACTGATAACACCATGTTCTTGTTTAAATTACATTTTAATAACATTTCATTATTAAAATTCCTTTAAGAGAAAGAAATAGAATAATACCAAAACATCCATTTCGAAATATAATTTGTTACAAAAAGAATATAACTTTTTGAAAACCAAATATAAAAAACGATAACATTAGCATAAATGAGTAAAAACTTATTAAGAGACAGAAAATCTATGTTAGTTAATAATTAGAAAATATTAACCACACAGCCTGGTGCCTATAATTTTAATCTTTACAGCCTTGATGGTGAAGATTGAAATAACCCGTCATTTCATCATCTGGACGGTTAAGAAAACATTATTCAGATCTCATCACTCCTTGACATCCATTCGCATATTGAATATTAATGTTAATATTATCATTCTTTAGTGTGTGTAAATTCATTAATCCCGTTTGAAATAGCAATATATATGTCTTCTCTATATACCCATGAAATTTGCATAGGTAAGAATCTAAATGTTCTCTTTTAGTTCCTTAGAGTGTTTTATTTCTATACACAACCCCACAATATTTCAATATTTTAAAAAGGAAAAATAAAAAACCAAACAATAATTTATTCTTTTTTTTTTTCCACTAATAGTGGGTTTCCTCAACCTAGATTGCTTGGATGGCTTCTTTCCATAATATCCTATCTAAGTTCCATTCTTCCCATTTACCATGACCCATCATGGATTCTTCCACTTCGTTATCCCAGGTCTTCCTCGTCTTCTTCTATCCCTTGTTTTCCATAAGTGGACTTTTTTGGGTAGTCTTCCTTCAGGCATTCTTTTCAAATGACCATACCACTTCAGGCGTTGTTTTTTTTTTTTTATCAATCTTCCAAAATGGTTCTTTAAGCCTCCATCTTTTCTCTGATGGTCGTATTTCTCACTTTATCTATTTTGGATATTTCTGCTGCTCGTCTCCAGAAGTCCATTTCTGCGGCTAGGAGTTTCTTCCTGAGGAGTCATAATGCTCAATACTATACTACTATAAATTATTTTTTTTTTGTTTTCAGGATAATGTTCCGGTTCCATAATACCGAGTTGAGCATTGATATGATCTTTTAGCTATCTGAAATTTTTCTTTTTATTTCTACATCACTTGCACCATCTATTTCAATTATGGAATTGAGATACTTAAAATGTTTAACTCTTTTTAGAACCCCTCCTGGATTAAAAAAAACAGTTTACTCTTCATAAATAATGATCAACAAATTAAAACTAATAACAACAAATTTCTCAGTAGAAATCACACTTGTTACACAAAAAATTGACCTTAAACGTCGAATACTTAGTCGTATGTAATAAGAGTGAAGTTTGTACATCCAGTAGAGATGTACTGACATTTCCGTAAGTACCATATAGTTTTAAATATTGACCTAAAATAAAAATCAATAATTGGTATACCATATAGACATGAATAAACTATATTTTTTTTTATTTATAATTTTCTTTGTTTCAGCACCCCAACGCTTTCCTCTGGAGTGAACACACCCACAAGAGGCTCGAGGAGTGTATCTTTGGGGAGGGAGGCACTGCCCCCGCCGCCACCCCCTCCTGTGGACCTGCCGCCCCCGGCACCCCCTAGCCCGCCGCCACCAGCCCCCTCCTCCGCCTCCGCCACCCCCACCTCCTCCAATATCTTCAGGGCCGAGCCCTCCTCCACCTCTATCCAATGGTGACATAGTGCATCCGCCTCCTCAACCGCTACCGGTGAGTTTCGTTAATTATCTGTTTATCTTTTCTATTAATGTCATGTATTTCATGCAGACAGTAAGTAAATACCTTGTATAATTTTTTATTTACTACTAGCTTTACCCGGCCACGCACTGCTGTGGCTTAGCCTGGCAAAATGAAAAAGAAAGAAAATAGAAAGCACATATGAGTAGATTAGTAGCAAAGGACATCTGTCATTTTTAAAAAGTTGGGAAACAAATTTGTCTGTAAAATGGCTTCAATTTAAACTAATTCTAATGATTTTTTTTCTCATGATTCAAATTGAACATTCATAATCATCTGAGTGAATACGCCGTCATTCATAATCATCAGAAACAGTCTGAGTTGAACTTATAAAACTAAATTAAAAAATTAATTAAAAAACGTATAATAGTATTGACCTACATAAGGAGAATCATATAAATTTTTCAAATGATAATTTCAATTACTGTAGTAATTATAAAATTTTTGATTAATCAATAATAAAAAAAAATGCTTGCCGATGTTCGGTAGTGAGGAAGCAAAAGGAAACTGCCTTTTCTGAAGAGAAAGCTGTAAATGTTTAAAACTAAATTCTGCAACGAATCGTCCGATTTCGATGATTTTTTTTTTTTATTTTGTCAGCAATTCAGAAATCTCAATTTCGGGAAAGTATGTTATACACATAAATTAAAAGGGTTTCAAGGGAAAACTTTAGCCAAGTTTCGTTAAAATCGGTAAAGCCGTTTTGGCACTACAGTTTATAGCGACATATTTTTTGCGGCTTTGAACAGAAAAACATTTACATTTTTATTTTTTTACATATATAAAATTATCGTAAGACAGAAATACTATGCCAGAAACCTTCCCAGGAGTGTACGGAACAACTTCCCAAAGTTTCATGGCGATCGGTTAAATGGTTTAGTAATACACTAAGGACAGACAGACATACATTCATTTTTATATATACAGATTAAAAAATAGTTTGTAATTTACTTTTTTTCCAGTTTGCTCCCTGTAGCGTATTGTAGTTTAAGAAAACTGTAGCAATTGAAAAAATCTGGTGCGCGCAACACACAACTTTCACTTACTCTTTGAACTTTGAATAAAAATAATTTTCTGGTCAGGTTAGGCTATTATAAAATGTTTTAAATTGCATTTTAAACTGAGCTAAAGCTAAAAAAACACAAATGCTATTAAAATAACAAAAGTCCTATTTATTATATCACCGGTTGATTATGGATTGTACGATTCGTTGATTATGGATTGTTCGATCCATTGATTATGGATTGTACGACTATAAGTCATTAAACTGTTATTTTCCATTGCAAAGTTTATTAAAACGGAATTAAGAGATTTGCAGTGTCTGTCATAGACAGGTCAAAAGTTGTCACACTAATTGTAAGTGGATTCTGTTGGAATATCGCAAAAAGAAAAATTATCAAACTATTCACTAATTTAATTTTCTAAAAGGTTACATGATGATTTTTCGGAATAAACGGACGATAGATATCTAAATATTTAAATATATTATGAGATCTAGAGTTATTAAACTACAGTAAATATATTTAGGGTTATAAACGTATCTATGAAATATTTTTGTATTTCACTTCTTTTTTCACACAAGTACAATGAAATGGTAGTGGAATATCACAAAGAGAAGATCTATCGAATTATTCACTAATTTAGTTTTCTAAAAAGTTATATGACAATATTTTGGAATTAACTTTAATACCTAATTATTTATAGAGAAATACTTTATTAAAAGTAATGCTGCCCTACTACATAGGGTTGCTTCGTACACAGCATACTTATCAATCCATAAGGACATTAATTTTATATTATATTTTTCTTTTTTTTTCTCCCCCTTCATAACAATACTCTTACAAATTATCAACAATAAACCATATTAAACAATAGACATAGCATAATAAACACTTTCCCAAAATAAAAAAAAATTCCTTTTTTCTCTTTAAATTCTCAAACGCCAGGAACGCAATATAACATCGCACACATATATAACACAGCAATTCCTTGAATGTAGCCAAAAAGATAAGACGATTATGGACCAATTTAAAATTTAATAAATAATTACTAAACTACAGTAAATGTATTTAATATTATAAACACATGATTTATACATCCATGAAATGATTTTATATTTTATTTCTTCTTTCACACAAGTACACTGAAATAGTTTTTTTAACAATGCCATCAACTTGCTTAGGTGGATTTTAAATACATTTTAAAAAAATTAGCATTACCTTATTAACACATTCAAAATTCAAAAACCGAAACAAAGGATATAACCATTGCAGCAGAACGTATTAAAAAAAAACTAGAGACCATATCTTATCTCCTAATTGTCCGATTTTAACGATTTTTTTTTTGTTTTTTAGGCTATTCCATAAACTTTTAGAAAACCATACAACATTCCCAAAAAAGTGTATACTTTTTGAGTTATTCGGAATTTAATTTTACCATCCCTCGTAACTTTTTTTCAGCTTCTTTTCGCTGATGAATGTTATATAGATAAATTTGAAGGGTGTCGAGAAAATGACTTTAGCGAAGTTTCAATGAAATCGGTACATTCGTTTAGGCGCTACAGTCTATAGCTACGTTTTTCTGCATTTTTATTTTTTTTCTCCTTTATTAACTTATCAAATTCTTTCAAAAGTTATATTTAGCATTTTTTCGTAACTCTGAATAATGCGAAATAATTATCTTTTTAAAATAAACCATATTAAAGGTACTTTAGAGGAAGACGTATATGAACATTGGGCATTTAAGCCCTGTAAAGTGACATCAATGGGGATAAGACCTAATTTATATTAAAGACCACTTAATTATACAATGATACACCGAGTTTAATCAAAATCGTTAGAGCCGTTTTTGAGAAAACTGTGAAAATGTGTTTCAGCGTTGATATAAAGTGGCACTTCCGGTTAGCCGATTTTAAGGAAAAAGTTGCCGTCACAACTAAGGCATATACCTATCTTAAATACGTGATATCAGTTTCATAGGACTTTTCGTTTTTGAGCTAGACTGCTAACATACAAACACACAGACACACAGACCATTTTTCGGGACTTGGTCATTTCGACTCAGGGTACCTCAAAACGTATAAATCCGTCGAAAACTCAGATTCAAAAATTTTCTCGATCGCAATACTTACACTTACTATATATTACATATATACGTAAGTGAAAGTAAAAATAAATAGCAGTAATTCTTTCTGTATTAATATAATTTCCAATGAAAATATAAGGTTTGATTTCCCCTGAGACCAAATAACCAAATCTCACAAAATGTTCTCTATTTGTGTAAATAGCTTAGCTGAAAAATGAAAAGTCGTACGAAACTACAATTATGTATTTAATGTATGTATTTGCCTGGAATTTTATAGCAACTTTTTAACCCAAGTCGGAAGTTACACTTTACCATAATTTTTACATATTTTTCACAATTTTATCAACTCGTAATGCTTATATACAATTAAGTGATTACTATCAGCTAGGTTTTATCCTCATTGAACTAATTGGATAGAACTTAAATATGAAATATTCCAAATGGCTCCCTCTAATTTACATTTAATATGATATATTTGATATAATTAACTTCTCTCATAGTTAGTAGTCATAAGAAATTGCTAAATATAAACTATGAAGGAATCAGATAATTAACTTAATGAAAAAGAATTTTCTAGATCGAAAACAAATTTTCTGAAAATAAGGGTAACGAAATATATGTATACTATATTTTAGAAAAATTTATATATAACCTTGATTTTTTAACTATCCATTGGATAATATAGGAATAATTTAGGTTGGAGAAAAACTAAAATAAAATCATAGTAGTGACAAAAAAATTAAACATCGACAGTAGACAATAAAAATCTTATAACTCCATTTTGTTTAATTTTTTACTAAGGGAAAAAAATTTTTAAATATATATATATTTATACTATATAAAAAATATGAAAAATAAAGTATTGAAGGAAGTTAGTAGACTGTTCTACATATCATGGGTGATAAATATTCAGGAGGCAGTCATTATAAGATTTTTATTAGTGCAGACATTTCAACCTAAACATATGGGGGTCATCATCAGGGCGTGGTTCGAGCACTGAAGATATTCAAGTACTCAAGTAATACTTAAAAATAAAGTGATTAAGATTTAGTTCTTATAGTTTTTTTTTTACTACATAGTAGTTTAATTCTTACCTCTTTACAAATTATAGACGTCTTAGTACTTTCCAGTCTCTCTTAATATATTCCAGTTCTGAAACTGGAGTTATATAGTTTAAACAGACTAATGGAGTGCAATGTTTTTATTGCCTACCATCAATATACTTATTTGAAATTAACTTTTTCTTGTGGTTACTTAAAACATGTGTTACATAGATTGCTTCTGTCTGTAAATCCTATACAACTAGCTTTATTTGATCAGACATTTAATTTGGGTGTTCCGTGACAGTTTTGTGATGCACACCGTACCAAATTTTTGTCATGCTCTATCATTGGACAAAATGTTCAATACATTTTATAATTTCTACTTTTTGTATTTTTTTTCCAGATTATGAACAATACCAGTGCAGTAACCACAATGAAAATGGTCACTTCTCCCCTCACTGACGTGGTTAGGGCTGCGAAAACAGGTCAGCCGCCACAGCCTCAGTACGATCCTAGAAGTGATTTGCTGAAGGCTATTAGAGATGGTATGTTTGATGCTAACCCTATTTAGAGTTACTTAATTATAATGAAATCATTTTGTGATTATTATTATGAACTAAACGTGAGGCCATGGTGGTTGAACTGGTTAAGTCACCTGCAAACATTTTAAGTTACAAGTTTAAATCCTGTTCGTGGGATTTAAAAAGAAAAAAAGATAAAAAATACAAATAATTAATAATAAATTAAAGTAAAAATACTCTATTGCGTTTAGATCACTTTCAGGGTTCAATTCCCGCATGGTGATGGTAACATCCCCACCCTGAGATTCACAGGAAAGTGAGCTACTCCTGTGTCTTCCAACAATATAGCTCCTGGTCCTCCAGATTGGGGATTGGGTACAGGACCATTAACCCTATCCCGTAAAAAGCAACAGGATGGAGAAGTTTGCATAAGGGTTGCCAACCATCCTGATGAAGAGGAAGTGATTAGTGATCACGTTCAGTTGTTATAAACCACGTGCTTCCTGGATATCTATACGAGTATAAGAGAGCCATACAGAACGATAACAACTGTTGCCAAGAACAGCTCTGTAGCTAGCTGTTAGAGGACTAATGACGGAAGTCAATAAGTCAAGATGCGTTATATTTTTTTTTTTTTTTTTTTTTTATAAAATCTTTACAGATATTCATCTGGTAATTTTTTACACCGTCATTCACAAAATGCAGGCATCTCTTTATCTCTGTTTAGTAATTTGAATTTAATGTTTATTTAGAATTAAAATAACAGTACTCCCGGACAACAAATGGAGCTGTATAACTCGAGGAGAAATTAAATACTTGTGCAAAGAGTCTTCCAAAACCCCCAGGGATAGGATCAGGAATGAAGCTATAAGGAAAGAACTAAACATCCCTGTAATGAAGGAGATCCTGAAGAAGAAACAGGTGAAATGGTACTGGCGTATGTGCAAGATGGTCCCTGAGTGTGAGCCACGCAAATTTATGGAAGCAAGACCAGTAGGTACTAGACCAAGAGGTAGCTATAATGGCTATATTTCCAAGTGGGGACAAGCTAGAGGAAAGACACCGCAGGAGATCAAGACTCATGCAAGAGACAGAGCTAGATGGAGATTGTGGGTTGGATTAACTTAAATCAACGCTGAAAGGCACAACTAGAAAGTTAGAGAAGAAGAATTAAAAAAACGAGAATCAATTAAATTTAGGACAGAAATAAACAAAAATAATTTATAGGCGTTGATGACCTTGAAGTTATAGGCCTTAAATCCCCAACAAAAAACAAGAATCAATTATTTTCTGTAGTATAAAAGTGGCGAATATATATTAAGAGTATTTCAATATTCTATAAAAGTCTTCTTCTAAAAAGTGATAAAATTAGTGAATGGAATGGCTTATCTGGCATATGCATGTATGTATGTCAATAAAAGATAGTACTTTATATGTATTATATAAATTGAATATCACTATTTCTTTCCTCCAAGTTTCAGTACATATATTAATGTGAAATAATACAAAAGAATATCTTTGGTTTATTGAAAAAAGAAATCACAGTTGCATTTTTGATATAGGTTAACTTTCTTTTTTTTTTTTTAAGTCGACTTTATTAATTGATACAGAACACTGTAAGTGCTTGAAAAATTACACAACTTTATATTTCAATTATAGTTTCAAAATTGGTACTTTTCCATTAGCTGGACAGGAGGGACAGCTATCTGCCAATGTTTATAACCTCAACACAGATAATTCTGATCAGGCTTCTCATAATCCCTATCTTCGTATTCATATTTATTGTGTTGTATTCGTATTATTGAAATTCCCACAACAATTAGAAAACACTTTAATTTTACAACAAATATATGAAATAGACAAAAATAAATGTAATAAAAAAAAAATAATAATAAAAACACTTAAACAGTTAATTTACTATTTAATATATTAAATAGACGAAAACAAATGTAATAATAACAAAACAGTTTGGTTAATAACATCGATAACAAATAATTAATAACATTAATTAAAAATTAAAAACAATAATTAATAACATTTGATGTAAATAACAGAAATGGAACAAAAATAAACAATGGAATAACTCAAAGCTTTGATGAGATAAGAAGGGAGGTTATGTGATCTAACATTAGATAACAAGGTAGGTTTCGTCCAGGCCTCCTAATCAGACCTCCTCACAAGTACCCAAAAAGCACACCATTTTCTGATTTGATAAAGAGGGAATTCTTTTTAAATAAAAGTTGTTAATTATTTAAGGTTAGAAAACATCACTTTTTGCAATAAACTGGTAATATAGCCCGTGGTACAGACCCCTTTTTATCAAACATCCGCCTGAAACTTCGTAATAGCTTCATCTCATCGTAACCTATAAATATTTTATATTATGAAAAATCTCAGAATTGGGTTGTTTTTAAATCGTAGATCGGAAAACTTTTTCTATTTAATTAGTTACTAAAAACTCATTAATACCCATTTGCTTTCTACTTGAATCATAAGATAATATCATCACAAAATTGAAGAAGAAAAAAAATGTGGCCTACAAAAATATTAAAGCGTTTTTTTGCCTATACCGATGGTTACTATTATTATTTTAAATCTTAGTGTTACTTACTTTTCTTTTTAATAACTGTTTTATAATAGAATAAAGTCACCATATGTCTCAATATTTTAATTTTCTTGTATAAAATTTCCAAATTATTTCTCTATAAGGATTGATTGTAACATTTTAAATTCATATTTCACTATTTTCTTCACAAAATTACTTTAAAAAATCTAGTAGAAATTAAAAATAATATGTTGATTATTTTTCATGCCTTAAAAATCTTTAGAAACTTAAAAAATTCTTAACTAATATATTTACATTATATTCTAAACATATTAATTGGTGATGTAATAATATGGTATCTCTTGTCTTCAGGAATAAAATTGAGGAAAGTAGAGAAGATCGAACAGAAAGAAGGTGAACGAGTAAATGCTCTTCACGATGTTGCTTCAATACTCGCTAGGAGAGTTGCTGTCGAGTTTTCAGATTCGGAATCTGGCTCGGATTCCGAATACGACAGCGAAGGATGGGGAGAATCCACCACGTAACAGAGCGTGGCTATTCTGCAGGCGCTGGTGGACAGCCAGCCGACGGAGGTGAAGGGTATCGCCTCCTGCCTGTCGGGCTGCCTCTGCGTCCTCTCTTGTCTCTCGGCCAAGGTATTCTGTGGACTCACGATGGCTGTCTCTGATGATACAGGAATATTCTCACGGAGTCAGAGTCTACCGCGCATTGTTTAGGTTAGCTAATTCTTCCTAGAACCTTTACTTCATTGGTAAAGTTTTAGTATTTGTTTGTAATAATATTTAATAAGTTAAAAAAAAAAGAAAAGAAATTTAATAAGAATGTAACCTTCATATAGTATAAAGTAAGCGTCGCTGTTTAATTAAATACTAGTCTTCCTTACTCAGAAAAATTTTAAATAGTTTTGCAGCTTGGCAATGTCTCTCGTGAAAATATATATATATATTCAAATCAATAGCTATTTGTTCAATATTCTCTAAGAAAGTTTGATATCTCATTTCACCTAAATTATTGATCCAAGTTAGTTTTGAAAGGACATTTATTAATTTTTGTAGCGAAATTGATCTATAATTTTTATATACATGAAATACACTTTATATTCCTCCTTTCGCTATTATTGTACCTGCGTCTTCTTTTCTAAAAATATATACAAAATATTGATCAGTTGAATTGGTTGTTAATACTAAAACTGACATTTAAAAAAAAAAAACTAACTATTTATTTAATTTATTGTCGAGTTTGATTTCGAAATTGGATTGGAAATTGTATTAATTATTATTTGTATAAAGGAAAATCATTATATAAATAATTAATAAACCAAAGAACTGAGAATACTCGTATTTTTCATTATTTAATCTTTTGTTTCATTTTTTTCTTAAAAATGTTTAGTTGAATAATTTTTAAAGCAAAATTTAAAAAAAAAAAATTATATACCAACTCTCTCCTTCTAATTTTTTGTGTTCTGTAAATTTGTTGAGACAAAATATTTTTAAAACAATTGTTCTCGTTTATTTTTTATGTATCAAGAACATACATACATTTTTTAAAGTTATTTTTATAAATATATTATCAATCATTAACACATCCTTTTCATCCCGAAATTCTTAATAATTAAGAAATTGGATTATTTTCAAGATTTACTCCTATTGAGTTTCCTTCTTTTTTTTTAACGAATTTACATCGAGAACCTTGCTTTTATTTAAACCACTCAATTTTTATCTCTTTAAATCTTTTTATTTAGGTAAGATTCTTGGTTGGTGTGATTAACTCTATTTACTGCCACTTGCCTTTTTTTATTTGTTTTTTTGTACATCGAAATATGTAGGGCATCTAGAAAAGAGACTCAAATTAGTAATTGATCAGCTTCTTTCATAAGCTTATAACAGCTTCTAAATCATGTCATGTAATTTACTTATGTGAGCTATTATTTTGTATTTAAAGTATAACAATCATCGTTCAACGGCTATTATAAAAAATAACAGAATTCAGTGAGCTCAAAATTTTGATGGCCTTAAAACTTTTTCAAGTTTTGTTTAATACATCCTGAGTCGAAGTCAGTCATGAGAGTTGATTTTAGTTTAGAAGTCATAACAGAATGTTTAAATAATTCTCTATAGTAGTTCAAGGCACAAAATTAACTGTAAAGATTATAGCTATATGAGCACAAGACGATAGTAATGTAAGTTATATCTAATTGTAAAAGCATTTAAAACTAGAATAAGCAGTTCGGAGGCTAGTAAATTTACATTTAAAAACTTAAAAATGTATTACAATTAAAAAATTAGACTATAGTTTTTATAGATGATGAATGCATTCCACTACAGCTATCGCTGAATTGCTCAAAGTCGTATCGCAGTTAGATCTGCCTAGCTTATCGTCTATATTATAGTTATTGTTTTTGTGTGATTTCATTTTTAGTTTGATATCGAGCGTGAAATTCATGATATCTAAACTGTCTTTAATCATTGATGTTGGAATAAATTTAAGTAAGAAGACTGAGAAATGTTTTTATTTTTAAATAATTTAAAAAATCTTTTATTTCTTTTTGTTTCTACCACCAGTTATATATGATTAATTTTTTTATTACAGTAAAACCTCAATAAAAGAAGTTAATTGTATAGGATAGCATATATTGTACCAATCCGAAAGTTTTCACGGGTCACTTTGACGACTTTTAAAGTTACATCGAGTCGCTTATACTTATAGAAAGCATAATACAAATAATAAAAAAAGAATGAGACTTCATTTACTCTATGACTCAATATAATTAACTCTCGAGATTTTATTTCTATTTTTTTTTTTTTTTTTTTGCTGTTGTTTCCTATCTTTTAGTGATACTTGGCATTTTAACATATCAAATATAGCAATTCCACCTTATAACACTTGGACATGCAAATTTTCATCTATTTAATTAATATTTTTGGTATTTATACAACGAAAAATTAAGTTTCAATAGAGATACAAAATCTCCCTTCCCCCTAATTGGGGATGCCTAAAATGTACCAATATCAACCAATTTTTTATTTTAATTCTTTTTTTTGTATAACCTTATAATTCAGGATTTAAGCCATGAGCTCAAATACTGATTACTTCGGTGTCTTCTTTATCACTTTCAAAAAACCTTTCGAAAGGTTTCAAGCATCAGTACTTGGCATTGATATTATTTTTTCAAATCAATTAACTCTGGTAAACATAAAGAAATACTGATCTGGCTTTAAGTGATATATAAAAAAAAAATTGTTTAAGTAATAAAGTAATAATCATTGTTCCATTACTGGTTGCATTATTTGTTTTGTTTTATTTCTTTTATTATATACAACATCAGTTGAATACTCTAAAAAATAAATAATAAAGTTTTATTGTATACATTTAAATATTTGATACTTAGGTTTCCTATTTAATGTAACCGTCAAAAATATTTTACTGTAGATTTAAGATCATTAATAAAGAATTATTCCTGTCTACAAAGATTAAATTATAAGATGCTATCTATATGTGATTTTTTGTACGATGAAGCTGTCTGATGTCTTGTTTGTTTTTTCTATAAAGTAATTTATCTCAGGTAAGGGGCTGTTTTTGATAATGCTTGGTCATGATTTCATATTTTGGGATGTGTTTAGAATTGAACTATGTATCTATTACGTGTATAAGGACTAATCGGCTTTTGATTGATGTAATTATTCAGAATGGGTGTTGTATTGAAAGTTCCAATGTATAATAAAACCTAAACAATCGCATGTAATAAATATTTGTATGTAACAGTTTATTTAAGCTTATATTTTAATTTTATTTTTATTTTGTTTCCTTTCATACATTTCTATTATTGTTATTGATTTTTAAAAAAACGTTGCCAATTAACAGGCACAGCCCGTATAACAAGAAGTTCTGTGTTTTACGAATTCCATTTCACTATATAAAAAAAAATAGCACAAAAAGAGAAACAAATGAAGTAATGTTGTAGAAAGTATTATGTATTTTATTAGTTTGAAAATAAATGTGTACATAATGTTTATTTTTCTTCCGTTTTATACAAAATTATCCGTTCTAAGGGCGAAACCTTCAAAATCCTATTTATTGTCAAAACAATTTTTTTTATTCTGTTGTATGATAAATTCTGAAATAAACAAGGGATCGTTAGATTTCTCCTAAAATTCATTAAAAAAAATTTCTCCCACTTTTTATAACTTTAAATTATTTTTCTGAAAGTTGTGGAAAAATATTATTTATATTCCATCTTATTAAATTTGATTCCTTTGTGAAATAAAATCTTCTTCAAAAATTAAATTAAATAAGGAACAAGCCTTAATTATGTAAAGGTTATAATAGTTCGCTTCTTCGGGTCTTACCATGTATTTATAATAGGCATTATAAAATATTAATTTTCTGCCTATTTAATACATTTTAATTTTTTATCAGTTTCTTTGTAATTATTTATTTATTTGTGTTATATTTGAAGTTTATAACATATGTAAATTTTTTTTTCTTTATTAACACTTAAGATATATATAAAGTAAAATATTTATATATAAACCATGCTGTATTATACTTTGAGATATATTTCATATATCTATGTCTATGTATATACATGTATATAATAACGTTTATTATGATAAAAAGAGTATTAGTAATGGAATAATTTATATCCAATAGCCAAAGTTTTAACCAATTGTAAGAATTAATGTCTGTCATAACTCTTCCATACTACTTTGTAAATAAATAATACGTGTATTATACTTTCATTTTCATCTTAGCGAGTAAGTGTATATTTATAAATGTATACACTAGAATGTATATATACATAAGGATTGTGATTTATACGTTTGATTTATGAGACTTTGTTGCTAGAAGAAAACTCATTTCATTAGTTTTCAACATTCCCAGTGAATCTTATTTTTATTTTATTTTTACAAAAGGTCACTAAGAATGAAGATAATTAAATAATTATATATATGCTTGTACTATATTTATAAATGCCAATATATATATATATAAATATATTTATTTAAAAAATTAATGTGTGTAAGTTTGATATTATGTGGATAATTGTCTTAATGAAGCTGTTTGTGAGAAATAACGTTCATAAATTGTTTAGAACATGCCTCAGAAGGAGTTAGAGATCACATTATGCTTGAAAAATTAAAAAGACATTTTTTAAAGTTTATATTTTTTATTAACCATTTTGTTTATTATTTCCTATTGCTCCTTTTTTTTAAATTACTAACATTTAATTTATAATTGCTTGAATGTTTTTCTTTTTAACTAATAATCAACATGCGGGTCTTTGAAAGAAGTTAAAGATTTGTATCGTGCGCTATTTTCTGGCATTAAGCACCAGTCAGGTAGATAGGAAAAAGTTTGGAATTTCATAAGCCATGAATTGATAAACATAGCCAAAAATCAGATTATACTTTGCGTTTTATGGTTCCGATCATTGTTAAGAGCCTTAAAATTCAAAATACTATCTACCGAAATCTAAGAAAACTCTGAGAGGTATGTTAATATCATGAAAGACATGCGAAAAGATTCAATTAATTAAAATAAATAACCCAAAATACCTAAAGCTTTAAAAAATAAGATTTTTTGTTTATTTAATAAATATCTACATACAATTTTATTTCTCATCCATGGTCGTTAATATTCCGAAATTATAAATTAAAGAATGTATCGTGGTGGATAGTAATATAAATTCAAACAGTGAACGTTTTTTGAACAAATATTTTTAAAACCTTAGCTCAAAAATATTGTGCACAAAATGTATAGTTCTTCTTGGGCATTGCAAAAAATAAAAATTGATTTATTGCATAGTCTTGTAATTACAGTATTAGACAAGTATTTTTAGATTTGATAATGTTAATATTAGCTATAAAAAAACTACTGTAATTTAATTTCTTGTATTAATTTGACACCCTAAATTATTCAAGTTTATAAAATTGTATTTCTTTTTCACTTAATTTTAATTGTATTGCCATTTAAATCAGTTTAAACACTTACTGTAAATGATCTACATTAGTTAAGATTATGTAATTCTGTGCATCAATATAGACAAGCCTTAAAGTTTATCGAAAATATTAAATAAAATTTCATCTAGCAATAAATAATCTTATAGTAAAGTGAGGTTTAGTTTTAGGTTATATTAGAATCATTTGTTGTTATCGCTACTAAAATTTATTAACAGACCCGCTGTTTCTGAAATGATGTACGTAGTTAATTCCTTCAGTAAATAACTAAATGCTTATTAACAATATTTATGGTATTAATGTTTCCTGAATATCAAACGTAATCCATCCTTGATGAATGGTGTTTTTGTGGAATGAATTATTTCTGATCAAATTAACTGCCAAAAATGAAGGCCTTGAAATTAAATTAAATATATTTAATATTTTTTTTAATTTCCATTCCACCAAAACATGGAGTCATCAATTTTCATAATGGTACAATTTCTTTTTTCCACATTTTATATTTGTTAATGATATCCAACTTTTGTTACAAATATTTTTATAAGCCTTGTGAAGTTTTATAATAATCGAATTGTGTTTTGTCTTTTGGTTTTCCTTAACTACTTACAATAAAAGTTTTTGTAAACTATGAGAAAAAAGTCAGAGGCTAGTTCTAAGTATTATAAGCTTTTATAATCAAATGAAATTATAAATCTAAAAACTTATGTATATTTTGTCTCTTACGTATCCTTTCCTTTTTCTCCTATCAAATGTGTGATGTAACTTGTGAATTATTTTGTTTGTTATAAAGATTTATTAATTGCTTAAAGATTGTTTATTATGATTCCATTGTCCTTTCTACTAACTAATAGTTACAAATAAGAGGTTTTGTCATGTTTTATATAAGTTGAAAATAAATTAAAACAATTTATCCCAACTCAGCAAAACAGAACTATTTTTTCTTCCTTATTTTAATTGTAAAAACAATTTTTTTTTTAAATGGTCCTTGTTTCCTTTAGCTACTCCAAGGTATCAAGATCACCCACAACATGTTATTCTGATTTTCTGATGGATGCCAAAAATAGCCAATTATTGACAATCCTGTTTATATTCAACTGACCTTTGAATGCTTATGTTTTCATTGCTTCAAATTGGTTCTATGATTAAATAGTTAAACAATCAAAATATGTACCCTTTTAAATTACAACACATTTATTTAAGTGTATGCAAATGTCAAGAAAAAAATTGTCTCTTAAAGCATTATTGTTCTTGTAAAGTATATATTAATTTTTTTTTTTTTGACTGGCCTATAAGGACCCCATAATATTATTTTTTATAGTTTCTTTTGTTTTCTTTCAGATTAATTACTGTTATTACAAAAAAAAAAGTTCCTCTCCCGCCCCCATATAATATAAATCAATATAGTCCTTTGCCTCGAACACAAAATGCTAAAATACATAATTGAAATTCTCACCCCACACTGATATATACCTATAAAATATATATATAAAAAGAAAACTAATTAAGAAGTTGATAAAAAATAAATTAAATATAGAGAGAAATACAATAAAATTGCTAAACGATACAGCATATCATATTATAAGACTGACCAGACTTATAAATAAAGAAAATAACAAAAAAAGCGTTAAGTTTTACGGGATTATTATCCTAGATGTGCCATGTTATGATTTTCTTGTCATTCTCCTCATTTTCTGTCTGTCTCTACAAATCGAAACTCAATGCTCAGAATTAATATAGGTGGAGATGAGGATTCTTACTGTGTCCAAAGTTGTTGAGTTGATTGATTCCGCCATACTCTGCGACTGATTCCTTTCCACTCCCAACTTTTCCAAAAAATTATGAGAAATTGTTCACTTTTAAACACAAGTCCTGGGACTATAAACTCTCATTCGCCATATTCCTCTATATTTTTCTTTTATACATGGAATGCATTTTTTATAGATTCCTTCTTTCTGTATTTGTGTCTTGATCCACATCGTTTGTTTCAAATCTTACTGTTGGATCCACCAAACTTAAACGCCTAATGAATTGTGCACTAAGATTTGTTTTCAGAATCTCAAGGGATACGCATATTACCCAGTATTACACTGAGTTGAGGTGGCTTTACCCATCCTATCGCCGTCAGTGTTTTATGTACCAAATCATTCGAACTCATCGACCCTCCTATATTTTTCACAGCTTACAATTCAAATACTCCATCCAATCCCGTCACACTAGATCTCGCACTTCCCACCTCTATCCTCCTCCTCACCGAACTGCTGCGTTTGACAAATCCTTTGCAATACAAGCCGCCTCCCTCTGGAATTCCATCCCTGCTGATATTCGACACACTCAATCAGTTTTCTCTTTGAAACCTCTCCTCTTTAAACATCTACTCCTTTCTCAATCCGACTGATTGCGAAATATACTTAAGAGAAATATCTAAGCACCGCCAGAGACTACCTCAATTTATTTAGGTTATTTTAGTTTCTCATATATATGTACAATTTTCTTGTTCTTTTCTTTCTCTTCTTCAGTATTTTTAGTTTTAGTCAACTCTTATTGTAAATATATAATCTAATTGTAACCACACAAGCATACAATCTGTATTTATAATTTGTTCTAAAGAGACAACAGTCCCAGAATAATAAAATATTTTTTCATTCATTCACCATCAGAGCCTTCTTTCGTTTCGCACTAAAGGCCAAGATATCCACAAATCTTGAGACTTGTGTACCCAGGCAATTAACTTTGAGTTAGAATCTAAACTGTTTATTCGAGACTTCGTATTACTGTGCCGGCAGATGACTAGGAGCATATTATTCGAACATTTGTGGCAGAAGAGTCCAAATCTTCATTTATCTCTCCTCCAGTCCCTGGGACTCCAGCATACCTCCGGTCTCAGAGACTTAAATATTTTCAATTTGTTTGTTTGGTCAGAAGGCTTGATTTCATTAGTTTCTGAAGGTCATAATAGGCTCTGTTTCCTGCTATGATTCTGCTGTTGATCTCATCAGTTCCTTTTTCCCTGCAGTTTCATTCCACTCCAACAGAGATGAGAAAATGCTACTTTAAGCACTGACTACCAATATTTTATTCAAATTGAATCACTATTGAGAATTCAACCACTACTTCAGTTAATCATTTGACATCTGAAGTAGTAATTAAATTCTTTGGTACTCAATATTTGATAGAATAGATAGAAAAATAACTTTATTCTGTGACACAGTCCCTTGATAATAACAAAATGGAACAAAATTAAAAGATTACATCTGGCCAAAATAAAATCAATTGAAAAAAAGAAATAATGTAAAGAAAATATAAGGTAAACATTCTATATAAAAAACAAACGAAACTATATATAAAACAATTAATACTATGACAAGACACTTAAAGCTATTTGCACTGTGTATACACTTTTAAGAAAATAATAAAGAATTAAAAAATAAAAATATATCAAATTCTCTATTAAAATCAGCTTTGTGTTTCTGTTGAGAAAACAGAAAGCTGGATCTGACAATATAACGTGCCTGATTAATATATAAATAAATTATCATTTAGCATTGATATTCGACAATGAATGGCATGAAATGCATGTATGTTGTCGAATCGTTAGCTCTGTTTTTGGGATAGGAATTGGAATAGGAGGGTTTTGAATGTGGATATGGATGGGGAATGTCGAATTTTGATATGGAGGGAATTCCAGATATTGACAGAGAACAATAAAGGAGTTTTGGAATGAGGCAGATCTGTCAGAAGGCATGTAAAGGTTAGAAGGTCGAGATCTTGTGGACAGGAATGGACCGAGGATATGAATTGGAGAAGGTTGTAGGAGTAAGAAAGACGAAGGTTGTTGATGATTTGGTAGAGGAACGTACCTAGGAAATATTGTCTTCGGAAGGAGGGGGAAGAGCCACTCTAAATGTAAGAGACATGGGAGTATCTTGGGGCCCCGATCACAAATTTTACGCAGCTGTTCATTAGTCTTTTCAGTCTATCGCGGAGCTCCACAGAGAGGCCATCATACACCACACAGCTATAGTCAAACTGGGGGAAAATTAGAGAGGAAACTAGGAGTCTACGCGTATGTTGAGGTAGGAGATGGCGGAAGCGGTGGAATAGTTTGAGGGTGGAAATTGTCCGTCGAGAGATATGAGAAATATGGTGATTAGAATATTCTATACTGTAGAAATATTCAGTGTAGCATTTGCCCATCTCTGCACTCCAAGGTAGATGAATCTATTAAAACCTGCAAAACGATTGGTGCCCACGATTAAATATCGCGGCCTTCTTCTGGTAGTGGACACAGAAAGTACCATATATTTTATTTTTGCTTTCATTAATCACTAGCCCGACGTAACTATTTTCAGTATCCAATTCAAATATTAATTATTTTAAAGCGCTTTCGCTTCTGCACAATATCCGCATAACCACCAGTCTGCGTAGTATGGCTTGCAAGTTTACCTGTCGGAACAATTTATACAGCTTTAGAAAGGATTAAGTTAAAGATGATGGCTGATACGGCATCTCTCTGTCTTACCCCGCTGTTGAACATGATTCTACGACTGGTTGAATTTCCAATTGTCATTTTAATCAACTTATAAAGAATGCCGAAACTTCCGAGAATCTGAAAAAGCTGAATCCTGCTAATTCTATAAAAGCCTGTTTATAGTCCACGAAAAGAAAATGGATTACTAATTCCAATGTCAACATTTTTTATTATTAATTTTAGTGATGTTTCCAATGGCAAAATTTATATCTTTATTCACAGTTCTGTATTTCAACACTGTAATCACGTCCTCCGGTATCAACTTACTCACTGTCTGCATAGATAACTTTTTCAACTAGAAATATCACTAAATTGACACTACTGAAAAATGTTGGAATTGGAGTTGGTCATTCTGTCAACTGAAAGGCTCAGAGACTGAAGTTGTTTGGTTTGTAAAATCAGATGGAGTAACTAGATTTGTATTGCCTACCGTCGATAAAATAAATAGACATTTTATAATTTTAATGATTTGTTATCTGTAAGCTTTAGCAACGTTTAAAATGCACTTCCGAAATTTTACAATAGCCCAACATTTCCAGAAAATAATTTCTATTCAAAGTAGAGCGATAAGTGAAAGTTGTGTGGTGTGTACGCCAGATTTTTTAAAGATAGGTCAGTGTAATCCAGAGCACCAGCTGATTGACTATTTTTCAAGGTTCTATAAATTATATCGCACAGCCTTTGATGTAGTAGATCGTCGCTTTTAAAGATCTCACGTTGTTACTTATTGCATAGAAATTAAAAACATATGATAGACGCTTAGGAAACAGCAAAGGTGTCTCCCAAATCATACAGTAGTTACTAACAATTACAATAACATAAATGGCACAATTATTTAATTCCATATTAATTTACAACAATATGTGTATACTTTAAATAGATAAATAAAAACATTTACATTAATTCCCAATTAATCAAGTAAGAACGAAATCTTCTCCTTTCTTGATATTCATTTTCAATACAGGAATGGCTATTTTCAATAGTTCCTTTTCCAATTTCGACAGTTTAGTTTAGGAAGTCCTAAGTTTTTCTCTATACCATTTGGTCCCAGAAGTATGGGGGTAGAAAAATAGGGTGCCTCGTCGTAATTGTATTCAACGAAACTACACTCTATAACGTTCGACTGACCCTTGATTCCCCTCATGATAGCATCCACCATTCTAGAACCAGCAAATGCCATAGCAAGTGTCGCAGTACCGGCTCCAGCCTTTAGATTAAGCACTTCTGTTCCCGCAATTTGAATTCGCTTCGTCAAATCACTCACTTCACTGTCTGTTAACTTTATCTTTGGTTTGCATTGGGACATAACAGGAACGATGGTTTCTCCAGAGTGACCGCAAATCACTGGAACCTGAATCATCATTGGATCAATGCCCTTGAGTTCTCCCACGAATGTACTTGCTCTTATCAAATCCAGTGTAGTAATTCCGAACAATTTTTTTGGATCATAAACTCCACGTTTTTTTAGCATTTCTGCTGCAACTGGGACGCATGAATTCACAGGATTAGTAACTATAGCGATTATAGCTTTCGGGCAATAATTTCCAACAGCGTCAACTAAATCCCTAACAATGGATGCTCTCCTTGAAGTAGAGATGCTCCGCCTAATGGACAACATCACCATTCATTCCATGCACCCGGTTAATATTAATACAACTAATTGTCAAATGTGAATGCAACCATATGATTAAATTTTTATCTACACTTTAAATAGATGCCTTTTTCGGCGCCCCAATCTGTGGACGTTGTATTGTTAAAAAACCTGAAAAATACCTTGGATTAGTAGTGGTACATGGCAAACGATACGGCAGGATAGAAGAAGAAAAGTAAATTTTATTCTTGTACAGCAAGTCTCCTAAGAATAACTACAATTAACAATGAAGTGACAATTGTCTGGCATTAGAAACAATTAAGAATAAATTAAATAACAAAGTAATCTAAATCTAAAATTAAAATAAAAAAAAAAGCATTTGATATTATAGAACACATGTGATATTATAGATAAAAACAAATGTGCTTGTTCACATATTCGTACACATAAACAGTGTGGATGATATGTAATTATCTGCAAGATAATATTAAATGCGACTGACAGCTCTGAAAAAGTAAACATTAAAAATAATAAGAGTGTAAAAACACATATTCGGAAGATTGATTGCTAAGGAGATGGAAAAATAAATAATGTTTAAATGAGATCAAGGATGAAGGGTTTGCGTATGAAGGGTGTTAGGGAATTCCAAAACAAGGTAGCAGGTATGAAAAAGGATTTTTTAAAGGAAACAGTTCTATGAGAAGGAATAAATAGGTTTGAGAAATGAGATTTCTTATTGAACGAATGGACAAAGGAACAAGGAGTAAACAAATCGAGAAGTTGAGAGGATTTTTTGGTTGAAAAGGTTCGAGAAAGGAATATACTTAATAATATTGCCGCCGGAAGACTGGATAGAGCCTCTTCAACCCGGCATAGCAACTAGAGACGTTGGAGCGCCTGGGGACTCCAAAAATAAATCTAATGAAAAAATTCATAGTCTCTTTAATCTGATCTCAAGCCCACCAGGCAGTCCACGGTATACAAGGCAGCCATAATCAAAATGAGAGAGGAAACTAGGAGCTGAGGGATTTATGGGGCACGGAATCTTAGAGCTGTTTGAGGATATCAATGGATTTTAAGATTATTTGTGAAATATGGTTATTCCAGGACAGATATTGATCAAACATTACCCCAAGGATTCTAACGGAAGTGTGGAAACGGATAGGTTGCCCAATGAGGTAGATAGAGTAGGGGATAATAAGGAATGAAATTAATCAGATGCTTGGAACCAATGAGAGTGGCTGTGGTCTTCTCAACATTCAGCTTTAAATCGTTGTTCACTATCCAAGTCAATACTTAGTACCAATATACTATCAATGTCTTCTTGAACCCTTCGGATCGTCTCAAGCATCTCGGTGGGATGAAAGGAAAGGTAGATTCGGAGATCTTCAGTATATAAGTGGTATTGTGGATAATGGATGGAATCAAGAAGGACGTTGATGTAGATGAAGAAAAGAGTTGGAGAGATCAAAGATCCTTGAGGAATGCCGCTAGGAAAAGGACTAAACATTTGAGGACGATAGGAATATGGAACGTACGTAGGTTTACGTTAGCAGGAAAGAGCCATATGCTGGAAAATTGTCTTGAGAAATGTGGGATGGATGTGGTAACGTTACAGAAGATTAGATGGGGAAAGGAACGTACTGTTATTGATTTGAGTAAATATATTCGTCGTAAACATCAGTCATTCTAATTATATATGAAAGAATGTGTTACGTAAGACTTTTTCTTTTTTTTTGGAAAAATAAATTTTTCAATATATCCATGGTGAGTGTACAAGGAGGAGTTTTATGGACAACTTGAAAGAATCTATGACAAGATTTCGAAATATGATATTAAAATTATCGTGGGAAACTTTAATGGAAATATCGGTAGAGAGAAGAATCTGTTGAGATCGGTGGGAAACTATGGATTCCATAAAACTACTAACGATAATGGATACAGAGTATTAGACGTCGCAGCAAGTAAGAACATGAAAATATTAAGTACCACTTTTCAACACTAATGTATCGACTTAGAAACATGAACATAACCGGATGGGAATACCAAATATATCATGTTAAAACAGAAAGCAAGAACCAAAGTGATATTGAAGATTTGAGGAGCTGCATAGGAGCGGATGTAAATTGTGACCATTTCTTAGTGAGGTATAGGCAAAGATTAGCAATAAGAACAAAAGCTCAACATTGAAAAAGGGACTGTAAGCATAAGTATAATATAAATGCCTTAAGAATGAGAGAAATCCAAAAAGAATTGGAAAGAAAGGTGGAGAAATATCTAGGAAGTGGACAACACTCAGAGGAGGCAAACATAAAAAATAAATGGGGAAAAAATAAAGAAAGCTATTCTGGCTGCTGAAGAAATATAAACCACTTTTTCTTCTTCCGTCAAACTGGCGGCCCCTAAAGTAATTTAAGTTTATCCACAATGTTCTAAAATAAAATTAAAACAAGACATTTAAACTATAATATTATAAATGGGGGCCGCGGTGGTCGAGCAAGTTAAGACGCCTGCAAAATTTTATATCAAATGTCCAAATTCCGTTTGCGGGAATTAATAACACACACTAAAAAATTAAATTAAATAATTAATAACAAATTAAGATAATTGAGTGCAGACCCCCTACTTAACTACTTAGACCTCTACGGCGCGGATTCGATTCCCGCTTGGAGACGGTAACGTCCCCATCCTGAGATTCAAATGGAGGTGAGCGACCCCTGGTCTTAAACCATAGCCCTGGTCCTCCAGGTTGGGTATCGCACAGTGGCAATCTTGATTCCGCAGCATCAAATTGCTTTCATTACAACAGTGAAGTTGGTAAATAATATAGCGCTGACGAATAAAACTTTTGCATTCATAAGGTAATTTAATTTGTACACTCAAGTCAACATTTATAAAATACGTAAAAATCCAGATATAATTTCAGGTTTCAATCAATTAATAACTAATAACGCTATAGAAACTCACCACGATCATTATTGTTGCTTATTAAATAGAAATTAAAAACATATGATAGTCGCTCAGGAAACAGTAAACGTGTCTCCTAAATTGTACAATAATTACTAAAAATAAATATACGCATAAATTCAACTAAATTCATTATTTAATTACGTATTGATTTACAACAATATCCATATTTTTTAATAGATAAATAAAAACATTTTTATCAATACAACCCACAATTTATCAAGTAAGAACGAAATCTTCTCCTTTCTTGATATTCTTTTTCAGAATAGGAATAGCTATTTTCAGTAATTCCCTCTCCAATTTCGACAATTTAGGAAGGCCTAAGTTTTTCTCTATGCCATTTGGTCCCAAAAGTATGGGAGTAGAAAAATACTGTGCCTCCTCGTAATTGTATTCAACGAAACTACACTCTATAACGTTCGACTGACCCTTGATTCCTCTCATGATAGCATCTACCATTCTAGAACCAGCAAATGCCATAGCAAGGGTTGCACTTCCGGCTCCCGCCTTTAGCTTGACTACTTCTGTTCCCGCATTTTGAATTCGCTTCGTCAAATCACAGATTTCACTGTCTGTTAACTTTATCTTTGGTTTGCATTGGGACATAACAGGAACGATGGTTTCTCCTGAGTGACCGCAAATCACTGGAACCTGAATCAACATTGGATCAATGCCCTTGAGTTCTCCCACGAATGTACTTGCTCTTATCAAATCCAGTGTAGTAATTCCGAACAATTTTTTTGGATCATAAACTCCACGTTTTTTTAGCATTTCTGCTGCAACTGGGACGCATGAATTCACAGGATTAGTAACTATAGCGATTATAGCTTTCGGGCAATAATTTCCAACAGCGTCAACTAAATCCCTAACAATGGATGCATTTGAAGAAAAGAGATCGTCTCTTGTCATACCTGGCTTCCTGGGAACACCCGCTGGTATCACGACAACCTCCATTCCTGTCAGAGCTGCTTTCAATTGGTCAGGGCCTTTTGCACTCTTCGTGAACGAATTTCTGTCGATGTGACTAAGATCAGCCGCCACTCCTGGGGTATGATTTATGTCATAGAGAGAAAGTTCTGTCACTAATGGGTTCAATTTCAGTAGCATAGACAACGGTTGGCCGATACCTCCGCTAGCGCCCAACACTGCCACCTTCACCAATGCTCTCCTTGAAGTAGAGAAGCTCCGCGTAAAGGACAACATCACCGTTTATTTTATACAATCGGTCAATATTAAATATATTAATATTAATACAATTAATAGTCAAATGTTATTGCAATCATATGATTAAGTATGCATCTACACTACGTATAATGCGGTATATAAATCCCATTTACGGCTCTCAGAAGCGATTTATTTTGATGAATGAGGTATCAAACGAAATAGAATTTCATGGAGAAATAACAAATCACAATTTCAATTATTAAATTTTTACTACGACCTTAATGACAATCATTGAAAAAGTAGGTTTCAAAACTATGATGGTTTCAAAGGTCGAGAATGGAGACGAGATTAATTGTTTTAAAGATTATGACACCAACATCAAGACCCTGCTTTCTAAAAGCCTAAAATGTACCATTTTTTAAGTAAACAACTATTCTTGTTTAAAGTAAATTGAGTAGTATATCTGGTTGCCATGAGATACTTATCACATGACTAGGTTTAAAAGATTGAAATATTACTTTTTATGATAACGTCTGTTCAAACAGTCCAGGACTGCTTATTGGAACTGACCTATTGTCTTCGCCGAATTAATAACCCATTGATAAGGTAAATGGAGAAAAATAGCTCTATGATCACTTAGACTCTTGAGATAATATATAAAAAAACTTATTCATATTCTTTATAGTTCTATAATCTTTGTAAGTTAGAGAACTCTTCTGGACCAAACAAATACTTCTTGAGCGAGCACAATAATACATTGGATGCTCTCTGGGATTACCCAATTATTAAAATGAAGGGATATTTTCCAATGGAAGAAGCTAAACACTTATTAAGTAAATTAGTACTTTTAACGGTCATGGTAGTAAAGAATGAATCTTCACCAATTATGTGTTTAATAGACTTAATAATAATATATTGTATATATGATTAAACGTGTTTCGTTTATGTAACGTATATACGCCGAATGCATTAGGGATAAGAATAGCTACCTAACATGAGAGTCAGGGGTGCCGATCAGGGGCGCATGAACCTTCCCACAAATAATAGGTCATATACAATGACACTTTCAGTGGTCTGTTTTTTGCTTTCCTCTTGTTCCCTGGTTTGAAACTTTTCATTTCGAAAATATATAACTTCGCCGAAATTTAGGCCCATCCAAAATTCAAAACATCGTCAAAATGTGCCGTCCTCAAACATTTCGATGGTGCTACTTGCGCCATGAAATCTCCTTCTGGTCACCCCTGAAGAGAGTTCTCGCTGGAGTATACTCCTTTAAACGTATTTTGGAATGCTTGTGCTAAATACTTGAAGGTGCGTTTAGACATTTTACAAACTTTGGAAAACACAATTATCTAACTAATAGCGGCATTATTGCTAAGCCAAACCATTTATTTTATTTCTCTTGATAAGTCGTACTGAGTATGAATATACACGGGCAATAGAATTTACATCCTGTAGTCATACAATTTCTTCTATTTTTGTCATCGTCCTTACTGCCGAATCCCCCGAACGACTTAGGCAGTAACTTAGTGGAATGAAGCATCTAATTGAAAGAGAATGGCTATTAATTCAGAAAAAAAAGAAGCAAAAGTCCTTCATTACGATAGAACTCAAGGTGTTCAGAATGTCTACAATGAAATAGTGATGAGAGTAGAGACAGAATTCATTTCCATGGCGAGGTACATGGACTTGGCACGGTGATCGTTAGGTCTGGCAAAGTAAATGCGGAGTCTATAAAAATAAAATAAATTACATCTTCTTATAAATAATTAATTCTAACATTACAATTATAACATATTAACATCCTGCGGTGGTATAAAACAGATTTAAATAGATATTTTATATTGCACATTTAACATGGTTTTTAAAAAATAAATAATTTTATTAATTCGTATCTGCAATGCCAGGCTACTTAACAATAACCAACATATTTGTTACAACCTTTACCATTCAAATAATTTTTAATAACTAATACATCTTTATTAAAAAATTATGTTCTAAATTCAGTTAGAACGAGACATACAGATATAAAATGAAAAATATCTGTGGTAAGATTACACAGATAGTATAATGGGTTTTATTACTATTTATCGCCGACTGTCCTTCACAATTCGTTCCGGAATACCTGCTTTGAAGCATAGTGGATTCAGTTTTCACCTGGATCGGCTATAATTTATTCCTTTCGGGACGCTTGAAGTTAATGGATCACCCACCGTGCATAAACAAAAAATTTCTTTAGATAGTTATAGCTACATGATTGGTTGAAGATAAAAGATAAGTGAACAAAATTGTAATATATATGTTTGTATGATTTAAATTAAATCTCTCAAATTCGGAATCTTATACATAAAGAACGAAAAGTTTAAGATCTTTCATTATTAGTTCTATAAATTAAGTCAGAAGTCACGAACGGCTAAATCAAGAACGGCTTCCTTCAAGTGTTATCAATTGTCCTAAACCATTTGATAACAGTTTTTGTGATGGGAATTGGTTAATAAACTCAACTTTAGAAATAAATATAACCTTTTTCATAAGTTATTCATCTCTGAATAATCAATACATTACATTATGAAATACCTCTCCAAAATAGCCATTGTCTGTTTTTAATTATAAATTCAAGTTTATATTGTATGGCATCTTTATATTTTATTAAATTTTTGTTGACCCCGCTTAAGAATATGAACTGTTCTCTTTTAAAAAACAAATGATGTTGGAAAGAGTTGTTGGAAGGTTAGATATTTTTCCTTAAGCGTTTTAGCTACTGATTACTTTGTAACTTTTAGCAAGTAATTAAACTTGGCTCCTATTTCCCTCAAGTCATTGATATTGATGTATATTTTTTTTTTATTTTATCTACTCTAATTTATGTGGTTAAAGAATGTTCAGATCAGCAATGAGGCCACCTCGGCCACCACCTAATGTTGTTTTCACTCTGGCAGAAGAAAATACTTTAGACAAAAGCTCTCAATCCACTGGAGTTGTTGAGGTTTGTAATTAAAATTGTTTGTATTAAGTATTCTTTACAGTTCCATATTCAATAATTGGGATAGTTTGGTTCCAAAAGATATTGAACGTTGTTCTTTATGCACATAACTACTTTCAGTTGATATTCTATGTTTTAGATTGATAATTCTCAACATGTCCTTGTTAAAATTGCAACATTATATGCTGAACGATTAATGAACGATATCTGTTTGGTTGTTGGTGGCGTTGAGTATCCGTCACATAGACTCATATTATGTGCCTCCAGTGAAGTTTTTCAGGTCAGTACAAAGTATCTTTGTATTTGCTTTTAAATTTAACTCTTTTAGTTTCTAGTTATATATGATGGATTCAGATTCCAGTGGAATAAGAAAAAATGAAAAGTGTAGAAGTGTAGAAGCTTTCCCAAGAAACAAAATTCATGTAAAATTGTGGAAGCTACTGATGGGATAGATTAAATATGAAGGTACTAGTTCACGAGAGTTCTCCATGGATTAAATGTGGCTCACAATCACTTCAGTTGTTCATAAAATGCCCAAGTATCTGGGTTTATCTGAAAGAGTACGAAGACAACTGATCTTTTGAGTTAGTTACAAATAACTTTTCCTCCATCAAAGTAGTTGTATACCATCAATCATATACAGTTATGCGGCATGATCCGACTAATATTTGACATTTAGGTTATGTCTCGTATCATTAATTGAGCTTATAAATATACAGCTGCTGGAAAAAAAATCAGTCATAGATAAAAGCCTTTAATTATTATATCATTGAAGGTTACTTCATACTATTCAGTCGTGGTCATAGAAATTGTATCATCCTGTAAAAAAACTATTTTTCCATGAATGAACGTAAACCCATGTATTTAACAAATGCTGTGTAAACAAAAAATTAATATAATTTATTGAAAAGTAGAGAACCTAAAGACAAAACAAAGAAAAACCGTTAAATGGAATATTATATATTGTTAAATAAGAAATTAGATTTGAACAAAGGAACTAAACTGGTGGCCAAAAAAACCAGTGCACCTTGAATTTTACATTAAAACCACAGTTTTAAAGAAATATTTTTGAGCCTGAAGTAATATCAGGTATATGATAGGTCAGAGGGAATTATGATTAGCATTAATCCTGCTGATCCTCATGATTTTTTCTAGGATTAATGATAAAAGTATTGAAATAAAATGTGGACTTCATAATGATTAGTTTGTCTCCAGTTGCCTATTCAATCGCATTAATTTTGCTTTTGTGTTTTTTTTTTCTGGGGGGAAAACATTATTCATTTGTATCAAACATTTTTAAGAGTATAAAATGGCTTTGGGTTCCATGGCAGTCGCTCAGATTACAGAGTTAATTGTAAACGGCTGAAGTCAGCGATACACGGTCTGAGTCCTCGGGCAGCTTGAAACAACAGTTCGGCGAGCAGGCCAGAAGTACCAGGAGACAGGAAACTTCACTAGAAGGCTGAGATCAAGCCATCCAAGAGTGACAGGTCCAACTGATAATTGTTTCATTGATATGCAGTCCCTCAGAAACCGCTACCAGACTCAGTTGAGATTTCTCATCGATTGCGTGTTGCTCAGGGAGGGTGATGTCAGCTGCGCACACAGTAAAGGGAAGGCTTGCTGAAGTCAATCTCTGCACTAGAGTTCCTGCATATGGCTCTCTACTCACCACAGCACTCTGAGAAGCTCGCCTTCATTTTTGTCGTGAACACGCTGCCTGGGCAGATGATGATTTAACCTCTATTCTGTTTTCTGATGAGTCTATGTATAGCCTTTATGGTGCAGACAGACGAGTTCTAGTGTGGAGAGGACCAAGTAAGCAATTAGCTCAGTGCAATATAGTGGGAAGAGTGCAGTTCGAAGGAGGGTCGGTGAAGGTTTGGGGTGGACTAAGTTTAGACCTCCATGTGTTCTGAAGGTCGACACTCAATGCACACACGTACATCCTCTAGGAGTATAAGGTAACTTTTGGCTCGTTTATCGTCCTCTGTTTTCTTTTTTTATGCAGGATAATGCTCAGCCGCACATCGAAAAATTTTTATGGGACTACCTATACGATGTTAATATCCTCACCTTGGAGTCACCAGCTCGCAGCCCGAGCTTCAATCCTATGAAGCATCTTCGGAGCCAGCTTGAGACATCCATCCGTCCACAATAGAACTCTCCATATGAACTCCAAGTACGTGAAATGAATCAGATTCGAAATTGTGTAACACCCTTATTTCGTAGTATGCCTACTAGAGTACAGGCCATTTTATTCAAGAAAAGGGAGGCAACACTAGGTACTACAGACTCAGATTTCATAATTAAAATGAATTTTTGTTGTTTTTTCCTCTTTATTTGTGGTCTTCTACAAGCAGGATATGTCACACTATATACAGGTAAAAAATGTTGCTATTTTTTTTTTCATTAGGAAAGAAATAACAATAAAGTATATGGTGCACCAGTTTTTTTGTCCTCCAGTGTGCAATGTATGTGAAAATAGTTAAGTATGGGAAAACATTACTTTTTGACAGCCTTATATTGTTTCCATGTTGTTTTGCCAAATACAATGATTCTTTCATTTGTTATTGAGAAACAGTTTTTTGCTTCTTTTTTTCTCCCCATGAAACGTTTTCTTTTAATCATTAAGTGACAATTTCTCGATTTATTTTTTCCAGATTGCTATGTGTTAGATCTTTGGATATTTCTATTGCATTTTTGAAGCTTTCTTCTAAAAATAATCGCACCATTAAGGGGTCAAATCATTTGTTTGTTTTCTTCTCGCAGTACCTTTCTTTCCTTCCATATTGCCCAGAGAAAGATTTTTGTTTTCCCAACACTGACCACGGTTGATTCACTATTTTCCATAAAGATTTTTTCACTTCATGTAATGCCTTCAATTTTAATTATTTCTGACAATGACAGTTGCTTGAAATTGTTCGTAATTACAGTTTTTATCGTGGTAATAATTAAAACAGAACTGAATGAGAAATATTGTTTGGGTTTGCTTGTAACCCACTAGCGGATCCAGGATTTAATTTTGGGGCGAGGCTTCAGCCCGAAAGCTTTTTATTTTCATATAAATAACGATAATTACTTTGGAAAAAAAGAAATAAACTAACTACCTGTATGAAAAGGTGTTTAAGTGATTCCTAAAGCCCTTTTAATTACACGAACAATAATACTTTGAGAGATAAATTAAAAGAAATAAGTGATGCAATTTCTATGACTACGATTGTATTTATATTTATTTGTTCATAATTTCCATTATTCAGTATCATGGAATTTTCAGACTATTTTGATAATATTATATTGTATTTATGAATAAACATGTTTCACCGAACGCTTAGATATCGAATGCATTAGAGATGGTTATGTTATATGAGATTTCTCATGGGGGTATACTATTAATAATTTGAGATGTTTCTATTATGAACTTTTTGGACTGTCCAATTAATATTTTGTCAATGTAGTATTTATTTATTTTTTTCTTCTTCAAGGTCATGTTGATGAATCCACAATGGAGCGAATCACATAAGAGTAGAGTCGTGCTTCAAGAGACTCCAGCATGCGCAGCTATATTTGGTGAATTCATCAAGTATTTCTACACGGGCCAAATCAAGATCAACCACACTACGATCACGCCAGTTCTTGCTCTTGCTGATAAATACAATGTTAAAGTAAGTACCACTCACTTTATTTTTTCATCAAAAACCAAAAACTATTTATTATTCAGATTATCAGTTGTTCTTTTAAATTGATTAATCCACACCCAGAGATACTAAAGAGAGAGAAAAAATTATATTAGAATATAATATGTATGTTAAAATAATAACTATTTATTTTTGTATCACTTGTTGCCCATAGGTCTAATTCAAGGTCAGTAAAACTACCAGGTTCGCTCACTCAGAAATGCGTGGTGGGGGAACTTGCATTGTGATGTAGCCACTAGACTATCTAACCTTCCTATTGTTCTTTCAAGCCTATCATTGGAGGTTTATTTGAATATTAATGTGTCTTTTTTTAGTTTTACTGGGGTAATTTATTGAAAAGAATATTTTTCTGTGTGCTTGACGTTTAATTGAAGATAATTTTAAGCAGGTAAATCAATAAATACGACAAACAACCTAAAATAAAATATCAAATCAACCTTTCTCTCACCTTTCAAATTTATTAAAATTAATAAATTAATAAGTTATTTGGCAAAACAGTATTGATTTAATGTAAAAAAGTAAACAATAATCTTAAAATGTCCAGAAACTAAGGCCGGAGGGGTAAACTTAGTCTTTTGGCTGCGTCACAGCTCAATTCCTCGCTGCCATTTTCCCTCTGAGTGAGCGAACCTGGTAGTTTTACTGACCTTGGGTCTAATTAAACAAAATAATTTTAAAATTAATTTTTTGTTAATTAATTGTTAATAATTTATTTTTTTTTAATTTTAGGTTGAAATTAAGACCTATTTAAAACGATTTAAAAATAATATATTTACATTTTTTTCTGGTGGCATTGCAGATCTTATAGATCTTTTGCCGCATTATCAAGCCTGCTCCATTTCTGCCTGTCTTGGGCTGTTTCTTTCGAATTATTTGAACTCAGCTCTATTAGATCTTTGTTGATTCTATTTATGCATCTGCTTTCCACGTTGTCTTTTGTCTTCTATTAAAACATTCCTTGTTACCTAGAGTTAAAAATAATATTAAATAAATAAAATTTACTTACATAATTCCACTCTAATAACAGGATCTCCGTAATAGGAAAATCATTCCCGATAGTAGAGAAATTCAAATACCTCAGCTCCACAATAACCCAATGAATGACCAATTGTCGGAAATAGACCAGCATATAACAAGTTCAAGCAGAGCTTTCTTCTTCCTTTCAAAAGTATTGATATCTCAATAAATCTCAAATGGTATGATAAAGACAGTTTTAAAATATGGCTGTGAGAGCTGGACACTAACCAGCATCCTAGAAAAAAGTATTGAAATATTTGAGATATAACCCGAGCAATCTGGGATCAGAATACTAATTCATAGAGATGAAGGGCGGGGCATATAGCTTGGAGTAATCCATCTAGAAGCCTCTACACGACGTAGCTCAAGATAGGCGGAGATAGAGTTGGCTTGTTAAGATGACAAAAGATTTTCAAGGTCTGTAATGCCAACAGAAAAAAAAAAAAAAATTGTGAAGAGTAAATGTTAAATTTGTTTTTTATATTTTTATTCCATATATTTTTCCTTTATATTTAACGTTTTTTTTTTTGTTTTTTTGGATATTATTTTATAAATAAGTTTTCTTTAATTTTTCTTTTTATAGTACAAAAAAAAAACTTAATAATTTTAAAGAAATTTAAATGACTGGTTCAATAAAGAACCTATAATATATTATTTATGTAATGCTGGATGCTGAAAAGGGGTATCCCTGAAACATCCAAATAAAGCAAACACTATAAATCGAGAGTGTTTATTTTGTTAAACTAGACTTATTGGCTACAAGTGAGAAAAAATAATTAATGACGAAGAGTCAAAACTAATTTAAAATATAAACTAACAACAACTATTCGTTAATGACAAATCTATTAATTTCATTTATAAATATAGGAGAAGTTATAAGTTTACAGGTTTATTAATGCTATTTTGATTTAAAGGACTTGACAAAGCTTTGTATCGACTATATGTGCAGCCACATCGCCCTCGCTGCTGCCAACAATCAACTAATTACATGGTACCAGTATACATTATCCTTGGGCCACCATAAGGTTGCACTTGTAAGTTCTTTAATTTTGCTATGTTAAATGAATACATGTATTTCTTTTTTTTTAATTTCAGATTGTATACCATTTGATAGTCTGTTATTTAATTATACATCTTAAAATTCAATAAGATGGTGGTGCGAGTTCAAAAGATTGATTTTTTTAAAATAGTAAATATTAAAGAGAAGAATACAGTGCTGAACACCAAAAGCTTCTCAGATTTTAAGATATAAAATAAAATAATTAAATAAGAAACTGTCGAATGGACATTTAAAAAAACATAAAACAGTCTAAAACTACCTTATAAATACACTTATTGTTTATAAAATACATTTTCTCAAAATATTTTAATTTATTTTTCATCATTTGTTCAAATCAGGCTTGCCAGAACTTTCTCAAGTGGAACTTCGAACTGGTCGCAAACACCACAGACTTCTGTAACTGCAATCATGAGATACTTTCGAAGCTTCTTCAAATGAATGACCTCGTTGTCGTCAATGAGATAACTCTCTATAAGTAAATGACCATTTTCTTCTAAAATAATAAAAAATTATACAATTTTTATAGCAATAAAGTATAACACTTTTTTGAATCGGTACTGATGTCGATCCTGTCTCACTTATAAATTTTTTTTTACTTTAATATTTTTTATCTGTATTAGACATGTCATAGGTGGTGAACGTGTGGTCTGAGATTATATGTGCAGTCTTGAAGTAGCATTCAGCCTTCCTGAGTTTTTTTGTGTGGCTTTCATAAAAACTGGACGTTGGTTTTAATTAATATCTAATTATATAGATTATGAAACAAATATTTTGGAATATTATAATATATATATATATAGCATCCTCGATATTATTGCCTAATTTAAATGTAGCTTATAATGCTAAAAAAGTTCCCTGCCTATGACATATATTATCAGTTTTAACTTTTTTCTTTTTTCCTGGGAAGTTGTCAATTTAATTTAGTTGCTTGGCAATAATAACTTCCAGTTGTTAACAATTGAGTATATATTACTATCAACATTACATGTTAACAGGCTAGTTTACGTTTCGGGACCTTTATTTCCATCTTCAGAACTGCAATTCCAATATTCTTGTGGATGCAAAGCTAAAAATTTTCTAAGTTACAATATTGTGCTTGTTACATTACATATTTGTATTATGTTTGTTACAATAAATTTGTAATCACCTTAATTTTAATAATAATAATAATAATGTGCTCCATCGTCAATTTTCTAATTTATGTTCTAAAATTTATCATCTAGAGAAACATCCTCCTTTTGACCAATAATTGGGTTTCTGCCATAGTGAAAAATTGACCTTTGGATCTAACTGTTTTATCTGACTATTTTGATTGTTGTTGTTAGAGTTTATTTTATGTGTCTGTGATTTTTTGTATGGCTTTCATAAAAACTGGGCGTTGGTTTTAATTAATATCTAATTATATAGATTATGAAACATTTTGAAATATTATAATATATAATATAATATGAAATATTTTGAAATATTATAATATATATATACATCCTCGATATTATTGCCTAATTTAAATGTAGCTTATAATGCTAAAAAAGTCCCCTGCCTATACATATATTATCAGTTTTAACATTTTTACATTTTGTAATTCAATTTCCTATACTTTTTGAGTTATTATCTGATTTATTTATTGATAAATAAATAACATACTTTAAATATTATCTAGCTATCTTGCTGTAGTTATTGAATGTTGAATGTTTTAGCCATGTTGTTCGATGGCTTGAGGCTCAGAGGATTCTGTTGACATCCGAGTGTGATACTGCGGAATCAGTAGAAATATATATGTCTGCGCTGGTTCAGGATGTTATGTCTCACATTCGCTTTCCGATGATGTCGCCTCGCCAACTAGCTGAGTTGTTGTTGTCGCCACTCACCACTAAGTATAAGGAGTTCTTTATCGAACGAATGGCTATCGGAATGTCATTCCACTCTGGTAAATATTGTATATATATATATTTTTTTTTTTGTTTAATTAAATGCATTTTCTCATATAAGATTTCTGTTTCATCCTGCAACATGATTACATTATGTTACAGATCAACGTGACAGGCTGAATGAGATCTGTAGTCAGGATGAAAACGGGCGTTTACTATTCACGCCTCGACTTTATACTTCAGACACTTATAGCTCCACATTGTGTATAGAGAATTTCAGCCATTTTCCTTCTTATAATACGAGGACACTTGTTTTTTCATCACACACCGGCCTCGCTGAACATGCTGGTGATAAGACTTGTGAATGGGTACGTTGCCTATAGATCGAACTTAGTACTTTATGAGTGCAAATACATGTTTTAAAAAATCTATTTTGTTTTATCTGTTGTCATTACAGATCTTTTAGATCTTTTGCTGCCTTATCCAGCAATCTTAGTCTACGCCTTTCTTGGGCTATTTATTTCCGGTTTTCTGCATGCACCTCTATTGCATCTTTGTTGATTCGATCTATAACTATTGGGTTTTTGGCCTTTCATGTATGTGGTCTTTTGCCTACCATTGAGGTATTCATCGTTGTTTAAAGGCTTCCTGATAGATTACGCTGAGCTTACCTTATCCATCTTAACCTCCTTGACTTCATATCATGAGATATTGAGTGACCAGTTTCTGTAAGCAACTCTTTATTGGTCTTTCTCCTCCAGAAAGAGAAGAAATACCTGCCATTTATACTCTGAACCCCGATCGCTCTGGTAAAAAAAATATATCTATTATTGGGTTATTATTTTAAGATTCAAAAGCCTTTATTCTCTAAATACTAATTATTTAGAATGATTTTATAAAATGTGGAATTAGGCTGAAAACTAAGTTGACTTAGTTTTTAAGCACTATAGCACCTTGTGTGTTCTTTATCTAGTGATTCTTCAATGAAGTTAATTTAAATCATAATATTATTAAATCAACTAATTTTTTAGGTGATAGACATGTTTCCGAAAGGAGTATGGTTCCAGAGGTTCTACCTCATTGTGTGGCAAGGAACTATAGATGTGCCAGAAAAGGTGCTGAGGTCGGTCCGTTTGTCGATAACAGCTAAAGATGTTTCAGAGGACTATCTAAAAGTTAAGGTAGTTAACCTTAGTGATGTCAATAATGAGTATTGTTGCTGTTTTATAATTTAATGTGAACTTAATGTATGGAATAAAAGAATTTTTTTTTAGGTTGGTTTGTTGATGGTTGGAACTTGTGATGGCATAGAACATATCTGTTCTGTTATAGTCAAGAACCATCATTTCAATTGTAATGAGCGTGTTCTCAATCTGGATGATGTGATTCCTTTTGACGACCTGAATGTTAATCTTCTCGAAGGTGGCGATTGCCAACACTCGAGGCCGAGCAGCTATCTTGTGGGCCAAAACAGGTAAAGAAGGCAATCTGCCTTTAAAAATAATTTATGAAAACCCAAATAGATTAACTTTTGAGTAAAATTTTAACTATAGTAATTTTGTTAGCTAATGAATAACTATGGTAATATAAGTGAATACGTAGTGGACAACCACTTTAAACTAAAACTTATTGATGAGCATTTGTTTAGGTATTCAATAATATGTTCATGTTTTCTGAGGTAATCCTGTAAATTTTTCTTATGTTCATATGCCTGTCTTAAAAATTCATCTATTTCCCTCACCATTACATTTTTTTTTTTTCTGTTGTCATTACAGATCTTGTGGATGTTTTGCCGCCTTAACAAGCCTGCTCTATCTCTGCCTGTGTTGCACTATTTTTTCCAGTTATCTGCACGTGGCTGTATTACATCGTTGTTGATTCTATCTATCCATCTGCTTTTTGGCCTTCCACGTAGTCTTTTTCCTTCTATTAAGGCATTCATTGTAACGTAGAGGCTTCTAAATGGATTGCTACAAGATACATGCCCCAACCATCTTAACCTCCGTGCCTTCATATCATGAGATATTAATTGCCCAGTTTCTGTAAGCAGTTCTTTATTGGTCTTTCTTCTCCATGTGTTAATACTCTGATCCCGGATCGCTCCGGGTATTGTGTGTAAGATTTTTCTCTCAAATCTTTTAATATTTTTTTCTAGAGTGCTGGTTAGTGTCCAGGTCTCACAGCCATGTATTAGAACTGGCTTTATCATAGCATTGTACACTATTGTAGGTTATTGTGGAGCTGAGGTATTTAAATTTGTCTGCTCTCAGGAACGATCTCCCTCCACACAGATCCTGTTATTCGGGTTGGCTTATCATATATATATTTATATCGTATAGATCTCACCATTACATATTCTACATCCATTGAATTTAGAAAGTTTTATGAAAATTATTCCAAACCTCACAAGTTATTATATTACATATAAGCCTAGAGGCTAGAGCTGGTAAATAGTTTTCATCTCAAAGAAAAGGAATATAATATTATCAAAGCATAGAAGTCCTGACAACACGTAACAATGGGTTACAGTTAGGCTGTGTGGAAGAATTGTCTCCCAATAAGTATCGAGTACCTTTAATATTATAAATAATAAGCCAGGAAATGCAAGAAGCATTAATACAAAAATTCAATTCAGGCATTTAAAAGATTAATGTTTGAGGAAGAAGGTGGATTAACTGATGCTAACTGAGAAGAGATTTTATTATTTTCCTATATAATCGTTGTTATCATAAATACTGAGTGTATCATTATCTAAATGCATGTAGTCTTTCATTGCCTTTTGTTTGGTCTGATATAAACTCTAGAATATTTAATATGTGTTTTATATATATTGTATAATAATTTGGGGTCCGGTACATTCCATATGAATATGACCGGGTGCCCTTTTCTAGTGTAGAGAAAATAAATTTCGAGGAATATTTGTAAATGAATTGATCTTAAATGCTGTTAATTCTATTTATTTCTATTAAACTGGTTTCCTTGAATGGGCATTCTCTGTTAATGGGTTAGTCCAATGTAAATATTTATACCATTCAATGATTAGTGGGGGCCGGTCTCATGTCTTCGATTTAGTGTCAGTCTCCCAATGCCGCTGTTGTTCTCTAGCTCGCCTGTTCCGTCGCTTACCTTGTTTTTGTGTTACCTTGTCCAGATTCAGAGGGAGTAGCCGATGGGCTGTTTCAGTGGAGGCTGAGTGAATTGGGGGCGAGACAGGGTGCTGATCAAGCACCTGAACTTTTCGGACATAGATAATGCCGTTAAGTGAGAGGGGGAAAGACAAGATGAGACGGGAAGGCTTCAGTGTTATTAATAATTAATTTTAAAATATATAATAAATAATACAACCAACCAACTAGGATTGTAAATCTAACATATATATATTTATAAAATTTGAAAATTTATGTTTTGTAGGGATACTTTGAAAGTACATATCACCATTGTGCCGTTGTCAGATGTTTCCAGTTTAGATCCTGAAATAGATACTCTCATCATCCCTTCGAGGTAGTTTTGTCAATATCATGTTTCAACAATGGTTTCGTAAAGATGAATCTATATGTATGTAATATTACATATATTTAAGTCTTCAAATTTATTGATGTTTTTATCGATAATAAGTGTTGTTGAATTGTAACTAAAAAATATGATTGAAATATAATCGTATTTTTTGCTTGTTGTTAAAAGTATAGTAGATCCGATCCTCAATAATTTGTGTCTATATGTGACAATAATGTAAAATGTTGAATTTGTCACAAGAATGTTTAATGGAATGTTATTGACTTATTGGATGGATATGAATAAATATCTATTGTATCGTAAAACAGGCATCATCAATTGTTGGAAACTTGTAATCATACACTAAGTATTTAGTATCAATCCGTGCTTACTGTGTAGATCTGCATTAATTTCAGTCAGTCAAAAACTCATTATAATTGTTGGGTGAATATATATGATGTATTGTTATAGCTACTGTTTAGTTTATGCCATGTTACCTGATTGTGTATAACACAATGTTTATTATATTAGAAAATTCTTCTGTCTACTTTATTGTCAATATTGCATTACCTGTGAACTTCTTCTAAAGGGTCGAAAAAATGCTGTATGTTGTGGTTCAAAACACCTAAAATTTGGATGACAAATTAGTCAAGTTAATAAAATGCAAGGGGAACCACTATGTTTTTAAAAAAATAAGCCATTAAAGTAATGAGATCTCTGTGATAAAAAAATAAATGACTACTTATTATAAATTATTCTTACATTTTATGAATTAATATAAGCGCTTACATTTTTTTTATAAAAAGAAATAGTAATAATTGAAGAAAAAAAAACTAAAGAAATTCTTTAACAAAAACAATAAAAATAAGTGCAATATTTCTATAATTTTTATTATCTTTCTTGAAAATTATATTAAAATCTTGTATGTTCTGTTAATAAACAAAGTGAGAAACAAAAAAAAAAAAAAACTTGTTTTATTCACCTATGAGTCACATTGATAGTAAGCTATTGGCTATTATAGATGTATTTAGATTATCTATGACCAACAGATGAATGTCTTTGTCGAGCAAAATCAAAAAGTGTTGACCAGTCATGGTAGAGGGAGTATACAGTTTTCCCTTCACTAAGGCCCTACTAACTTCCCTAAATATCCATCGAGGGTCGCATATATCTGAATTTACTTCTTTTCTCAAACAGTATGATAATTTCAAGATATTTGATAAAGAAGTGTCTTGGATGAAATATAGTAAAATGTTTCTGGAAATAGAAGAAACATTTTGCATTGAGAATAAGAATTTAATATGGAGAATATCCATTACACAAGCCCTTCCTCTTGACTCATCAATACTTCTTGCTTTTACTCTCTATATTGTATATATTACACTGCAAGAATACAATGGACACAACTCAAAACTTCTACTATCAGAAAGTTAAACATTTGAACCTCTCACCTAAGCCAGTTCTCAAATAGGCTAAAATAATAAGACACCATGAGTGATCTTTCTTCAATATGTTAGAAGAACAACCTTAAGGGTTTTTATGTATAACTTACCTGTATTTTGTATTCCTTTGTGTAAAATAAATCTATGCCTAACGTCCTTCAAAAAACAAAAATTCTTGGAGTTGTCCCTTTTATTCTTTAGGGTTATAATTATTTATGAAGAGTGGTACTTAATTTAAGTTCATAGGAATTAGTCTTTATTTCAAAATTAATAGCAATAAGTGACCTGTTGCTATTAATTTACTTTTGGGGAATTCGTTATTTTATTTTTATTGAAAAAATTAAATACATTCTAACGAGGGAGATGAATGGCACGAGATACATCCGAGGAAGTTGGATATTGTTTGGAAAGAGTACCACCATTTAGATATCCTGGCACTATTATCACTGAGCATAATAATATAAGTGAAGAAATAAAGGCAAGGATCACAGCTGGTAATAGGTGTTATTGGTCCCACAAAAATTGTGATACACCAAGAGTTCTCTAAGTAAAAGTATTATAAGACAGTTCTGCAACCAGTTGTGTTCTATGGAAGCGATTTCGGGACACACACTTAATGAAGAAGTGTTATTGAACAGGTGAGAAAGTAAAATCTACAACCCAACCAAAGAAGGGAATCTTGGTCAGATGAAGATGAATGAAGAAGCTGTATAATGCCCCATATATTATAACCACAAGAGGGGAAGGATAAGATTTTTGGGTATAGAATGGAATAAGCAGGCTCCCTAAAATGATGAATGAAGGATACCTGTGTTGAAGAAGGAAAAGAGGCAGACCTAGACTTCGTTGGCTGAAAGATATTGAAAAGAATTTAAGAAACCTGAATGTATTCAGATGGAGAGGGGCAGCAGAAGATAGGTCGGCTTGGAGGAAGATAGTAGTGGAGGCCAAAATTCTGTAAGGACCATACCACCATCCGTTGATATTTTATTTAATTTCTTTTTCCACATTAGAAGAGGGCAATCCTACCTTTTCAATACGCATTTGGTAAAGTATGTTAACGGTTTTAGAATTAAAAAAGCATGCTTGACAGTGTCAGCATATTAGAGGACACTGGTGGCTGAGCGTTTTAAAACCTCCCCAGCTTAACATTCTGGAGTCTAGCGTCTTTAGTTCGAACCCGATTTTATTTCATGGTGGTCTCACCAAAAGAATTTCGACTTTTCCACTCTTGATAGAATCGGTTTGGTTATACTTATAGTTGTTATAGAACTATTGCTATGTGAACTTATTGACGAATTAAGTGGAGTATACATTTTTATGGATTAACAGCTCATGAAGGTTAATACTTTGCGGACTGGTAAGTCGTCCAAGGAGTTCAAAGAAACGAAGATAAGAGAATTGTGTTGGGACTGATCTAATGAGATTGGGGTTGGTCAACGGAAATATGGAGACATCATTGGGTGGGTGGTGTTAAAATTGGTCGACAGTTCAACGTGACTCCTCACCTGGACTATTTGAGAACTAGAGTCACAGTGGCCCTAAATGGACTCAATCGTGTCGGAGGCGCCTTCTGGGGTCTCAGATACCTAGCTACAATGACTATATACAAAGGAGTAGTTTTGGGTATTCTGAGATATGCATCCTAAGCCTGGAACCTAAACCTCTCGCACCGAGAAAAGAGTAGGGTAGCATCGATTTAGAGATTGGCGTTACTTCGGGTTACTAGAGCCTATAGAACGATATCTCAGGAGGCAGTGCAAGTACTGGCAGGAGGGACAGCTCTCGATCTCCTCCTCCGAGAAGACTATTACCTCTTTAAAATGAAAAGAGAATGTTCGGCGGATCTACCGGAACATTTAAAGATGAGAATTGAACAAGATCCAAGAAGATGGAAAAGAGTTATCAAGGAGGACACAATTGATCAATGGAACCGGCAATGGATGGCAACTCCGAAGGGAGCTACCCTAAGAAAGTACTTCCACACGGTCAAGTCACGATTAGATGCAAGATGGGTCCTCCCGGATTACTGGGTGTCTCAACTCCTCACGGGACATGGGGGCTTCCGAGCGAAGCTCGTTAAACACGGGAAGAATATTGGTCCGCTATGCCCCAACTACAACGTTCCGGAGACCGCCGAACATGTGGTAGTCAAATGTCCTGCCTATGAGGCACTAAGAGCCAAGCTCATGAGAGAGACGGTGATATATACACTGACAGAGAGCATGTTCCCCCAGCTAATGAGCAGGGAGAATTGCCCTCATTATAGCGATTTCGTATACGGGTGGAAAGATGCGGTAGGCCCTACACATTTTAATCTGGGAAGAAGAGAAGGAAGCTAAGACAAGCTGCAGCTGCTTCGAGGGCCGGCTTCACGTGGAAGAATGGAGAAAAGAAAAGAAAAGTGAGGTTTGTGGGCTTGTGCTCACAAAGAAGTCTACACCTCATAAGTAATAATGCTAACAAATTTTAATAGACCTGTACTGACAGCAGTGGAATACGCATACTGCTGCTACAAGCCGTATTGCCTATAAGGCAAGGCAGGGAGAAAAAAAGGAAAAAAAAAAAAAAAAAAAGGTGGGTGGTATTAGCATCGAACCTTCAGGTTCTCTTAACCTTTAATTATTATTTGTTGGAAGACAACTTGGCCAAGTTGTTATAATGATTATAGAAAGTTTCAGCTTCGTCAACGACTATTTTTAGCTCCAATTCATTATTACAATGGCCCCTGTATGAATTAAGAAATTTCATCGAGACAGATTTAAAATTTAGTATAGTTTAATAGAATTTAAGGAGTGATACTTTTAGAAAGGAAGGAAAACTATTGAATCAAATAAACAATAACGAACTGATACACCGGCTATAGATGATATCACTGCAAATTACAAGAATACACCACAAAATTAATAAGAAATTGCTCATGGTCGTGACGTCGGTAACAGGGAAAGAATAGTGAAAAATAATTGAATGAAGTAACTTTTTCAGAAATCACTGAATATAATCGATTACTGTTAGTTATCGTTCTTTATTTTTTTAAGTCATTACTACTTTTAAACTATTTAAAATTTGTATATACGATTATATGTAAGAATAAAGGTTTGTAAAAAATAAGAATATATTCAGTACTAACTCATATTACTGATTCCATATAGCTATAAAAAAAGAAAAAAGTTAGATATTTTATGTGACCTCTTAGGATTGTAAACATAACCTGTTAGATTGTTACTAATTAACTGTATTTATTGATAAAGGTAGATATAAATCTCGTCGATAATTCATCTCAAAAATGCTATGAACCCACCGACTGCAAGGAATGGTATAGCTTACCATCAAAATTACTAACTACTTTATTTAAATCTTTCAACTAATAGAGCCATATGTTGTTAATTTCAAATTACTTTTATGTTTAAGGAATAATTCAATCACCAGAATCTCCAAATGGACCCGTGTGGAAACCAGATTGTAAGTAATTAAACAAAAAATCATTTGTGAAATTCTTGTTTTATCAACTTCCAATTATGTTCATGTTGGATCCCATTATCAACAAAAAAAAAACACTTAATTTTACTGAGAATTATTACTTGCTAGTAATTTATTTTAAAAATATAATCATTAATGTTCATCTATTATTTAAATTAAATGAAGTATATTGGATCTACTATCTGCCAAAGGCTGAACACACTTTGAAGCTAAGGTAGGGCAGCTATTACTATTTGCAGAAAGGGTTAGTGAAGATTGATATGCAGTGACTCAAGAACTGACTCAGAAAGTACATGTAGTTTTTTCCTGCAATGCATCTTACTGTATGCGAGGCTTTAATGATGTGTTTACACATCTTTTATTTATTTATTTCAAAGCATTTACTCATTAAAGGTATCAGTCTTTTGAGTAAATTTTATCTATAAATGTCTTTGTCATTGTATCGATGCCCTAAAATCCTTATTACTTATAATCAAGATATTCAGAAGTATTTATTTTTTGTTTCATACTTTAAAATTAAATTAGAGTTTTCAGTTTTCTTCTGTTTTGTTTATTTTCTTGCCTTCTATTTTTTCCTTCAATTCAGGAGATTGTTGTTACTACGTCATAAGTGTTCTGTACACTTTCAGCCATTCTCCGCTTCTTTCGGCATTCCATTTACAGTTTGGTTGATGTGACCTTGCCTCATCTGCCATTTGTGTAGAGCACTTTTGAAGTAGTGCCACTTATCTATTTAATATTTCGGATTCTTAAAACAATTTTTTTTGTTGCAATTTTTATCCTAATAGATTTTAATTCATGAAGCAATGTAGTCTTTAAGAGGTTCAACTTCCAAAAAGAAGTTACTCTACCTACCACCAATACTGTCATTTATTATTTTCTACTATATCACAATATCACTCTTTACAATATATTATATATTGTTTTTATATTAAGTCAAATGGGTGTGGTTTAGTATATAGGTTGCAGCGAGAAGCCCCTGAGGCCAGACCCATTCCATGCTCAAGGAAGATAGAAGATCGTCCAGTTCACTATGGAGCAGAATTCCATGGACGTCTGTCCCACCTGGAGGCTAACCAGCTCCTGAATGCTGATGGAGATTTCCTTGTCCGTTATAGTGGAGCAAGTAAACCTCCCATTCCAACACTATCTTTTAGGTAAAGAATTCTTTTTTCTATATTCTACTCATTTATTTTAGGTAATTTTTTTCTAATAATATCAGTTTAGAACTCTTTAAATTTTGAATTGATTTAAAATTAAATTAAGTACCTAAATTTGAATTTCAAATATAAAAACTAAACCAAATTGTTGGACAAATTAAAATTATAAATATTTCATATGACCATCTTGAAAAGATAAGAGATTCGTCTAGAAAGTTCATATATGCTCCACTTGATAAAACAATACACTTGTACTAGACACTTGTTTATTTTCATGTTGATTTCATATATTTAAAAGAAAAGTTGTAAGGAGAATTTACAGTGCAAATTTCGTCATGTGGTGAATGATGAACAACGAAAAACAGGAAATTTTAAATAACAAGGGTATTATGAATTTCATACAAGGGTGCTGATTAAGATAGGCTGGACGTGTTATAAGGATGATTGAAGATAGAATAGAGTGGAAGATTCTTGTGAATTATGGTAAGAGAAGAGGATGACCATGTAACCATTGGGAGGATGAAGTTGTGAAGGATGCTACAGTGGCCGGACAACTCTAATAAAGCAGGCCAAGGGTCACGTCAACCTTTAGCACAGTGGAGTAAGTAAGTAAATATTTTTCATCTCAAGTTTGCTTCGAGCTTGCTCTTGTTAAAGAGCAACGAATCAACATCAAACATCAGAAGAGCCTGAAATCCATGCAAAAGCAGGAAAAGGAAATAAGCTGAGAGAGTCAAATGCAAAAAAAAAGGAGGAAGTCGAGATGAAATCTCAAGCTCAAGACAATTTTCATTGCTTTGTTTTTATTTTTGGGGCATTGTTCACCAAAGATTCGTCCCTCTAGGCCTGACTGTTAATGGAAATATCTGCATTGACGCATCAAAGCTTATGTAGCTCATTTTGACTAATCTTGGTCCTATCAGGGTTGGGCTTTTGCCTCTAATCAATTACCATGTTGAAACCTTTTTCTTATTCATCTGATTTGGCACAATGTGACACTTTTCTCGGATTATTTCTTTCACAGAATTTAGTCATGAATACTCAAGTCTCTTGCCTTCCTCTTTCTCTCTGTTAGTTAGAGGTAGTGTAAGACATTGATGATTTTTAACATTAGAGATTAATAATCAATGTTTTTTTAATGTTCTAATATTTAAAACATGCTCGAGTTAGGTTTCAATTATATTTTTTGTTATTTAGTTTTTGTCATATCTATAAATAAATATTTTGATATAAGATTTTTATTACATTTCACTTCTTTTTTTTTCACCTCTTCATTTGGGAAAGTGGGAATCAGGAAATTTTATTTACGGCAGGAAAAAGTCGTGGAATCCAATTGACAGACTTTTGTAGAAAACTCTGTATGCAGATATTGTTGAAAAAAAAAAAAAAGATATTGCTGGCTATGAATTAAATCTAGAAGATGTTTGAAGTTGCAAAACTGGAAAACAGAACATTTATTTTGGTTTTGTGCTTGCATTCTGGTATCTATTAAGTTTTGTCAATCATTTTAAGTACGTAACTCTATCTCTAATTCTGTGCTAATTCAAAATGTAATGTTGAACATTTCGTTCTAAATTATTCAAAATGTTTTATTTATAAGAAGTTGCTTGAGAAAGTGTTTATATCTTGTCATTATAATTCATTTTTTTTAATCCTTACTTCAAAGTTTATTTTTCTGTATGGTGCAGATCAATATTCTTAAAGTAATATTCAAAGTAAAAATAAATTATTGGAGTATTCTGTGCAATTTAGTTAGAGGTGGTTTAAATTGGCAGATTTCAGGGTAAAATTAAACACTATAGACTTTATTACGATGGACAACATTTTGTCAAGGAGAAGAGGTTTGATTGTGTCAGCGATTTGGTGCGAGACGGCCTAGTTACCCTTCATATCGAGGCGAACGCAGGCCCATATATCCAGCTCATGTGTGATGTGGCCAAATATGAGAAATCGCCTGCTTATCTCACATTGACCAGGTATTATGTCATTGCTATTCAAGCTAGAGTTGTATGCGTTAAAGTGCTAAACTATGATTGACTCTAATAGATGATCATTTCCTAGGGCTGGCGATAACTTGATCGTATCAAGCCTATTGTGCGCCGTGGTTGTACACTGTTTCTTTCAAATTATTAGTTTAACAGTCTTAGCTTTTGTTTTTTTTTCTTCAACTTCCTCACCTTTTAAGCGGATCCTACACAATCATTCATGTATGGCAGTCACAAGACTGACAAGGATTGCATCAATCATGATGAATCCAACATGAATCAATCAGACTGATGCTATTTTAGTTCAATTGATGTTGTAATAACAGTTAGTGTGGATCTAGTGCACTTTCTATTAATAATAATGTTTCATTAAAAAATCTTATTTAGCCATTATCCTTTATAACGTTGGTCATAAAGAAAAAAGTGGAGATATAATAATCACTTTCTAGTTCCTTAAAATTGTTTTGACAATATTTGGAAAAATATAAGTTGACTACTTACAAAAATTAAGAAAAAATATTGTGGAAATCATAAATTAGTTGAGAAAAAAGGAAAAAGAACTGACAAACATACGTACCAGTTAAACATTAATTTTTTTCTACAAGGAAATTGTGTAGTTTTCCACTTTTTATTTAATTTATTGCCCTTTTGATTCTTTAAAAAAAAATAAGTTGAAGATCGTTAGTAAAAATATAAACTAGAAATATGAAAAAGTTTATTTTATTTAGTAGTAAGGTTAGCCTCCCCCCTTTTACCTCAGTCTCCCCTCCACTTCTTGTGATTGAAGGTTTGATTTCCAAAAATCCCTATCACGTCCATCAGTACATCAATATTAATCTTAAACGATCAGAATTTCATTCCAACTGATCGTGTAGGTTCCGCTTTAGGCTATATGGGGTGATAGAGGGGAATCAATGCCAAATTTATTATTGTTATACCTCATTCATCAAAATTCATCAATCCTGACTGACGGAAAAGGGATCTGTAGTACCATATGATATATACTGTAGATGCTGTGATAATAAATCTTTGCCCATATTTTTAAAAGTTTTTTATTCTTTAATTTGATATCTGAAATGTTATGATTGTTAAAAATATTTATAATAAAATTACTGTACCGTGTGATTAAGATGGTTTTAATACCTGAGTAAATATAAATAACAGATTTCTGCAAACAAAGCTGCACAGACATTAAATTAAATGGAATGAAAATACAGATAGTAATATTAGAAATTAATACACTTTAAAATAGTATTGGAGAAGTATAAAAAATACAAAATAACTTTTAAAACAATAATCTGTTAAATTTTGTTCAGTTTCATTACTTGCTGAAATTTTCAATAAACAGAGTTTATTTAAGGTAAAAATTAATAAATTTGTCTTAATGGCTACAGCTGTGGGTTTAGTTTTGTTTTGAACAATTTTTTTTATAGTTTTTTGTTAGTTTATTAGTTGTTTATAAATACTAACAGTCGGTTTTTTATATAAATATGTTTTATACCTTTGATAGGTATAAACGGAGGACGAAGCCTTTGCAAACTACGCAAGAAGAAGAGATCCATTATGATAAGCCTCACAATTTTAAAACTCATAATTTCAAAGGGCTTAATTGGTGTGAATTTTGTTCCAACTTTCTATGGGGTTTCTCAGCCCAGGGAGTAAAATGTGAAGGTATTTTATATTAAATAAAATATACTAATATATTTTTTCAATTTATATAAATTTTACATTTAAAATTTTTTGTTCGAGACAGGTTTTCACTTGTAATAAAACTTCAAAATGGTCCTCTTTTATCAATTTTTATATTTTCACTTTTCTTCAATGTTTTGCCTATTAGTATAGCTCTCTATACCACTCCAAAGCTAATATTAATTTAATTTATTATTACTTATTCTCTCCAAAATAAATATTTATTTTTAAAACAATTTCAGATTGTGGCTTCAGTGCCCACGTCAAGTGTTCGGAAAAGCTGCCTCCAGACTGCTGTCCAGAACTGAAGAGTTCGCGATCTGTTTTTGGTGTCGATTTGACAACTCTCGTCAGAGCCAAGAAGACTGTACGTCCATTTGTAGTTGATAAGTGTATCCAAGAGATTGAGGTAAATTTAAAAAAAAATATTTCTTATAATAAATTTTCATATATTTTATTTTTAAATTAACTATAATCTACCAATGTGTGGAATTCTCTGTAAAAATTTGTACATTTTATTTTATATTTTTGCTGCTTTTTATTTATTAAATACAGCAAATGTCAAAACGACTTACAATATGATTATAGATAAAATCATACAAAACATATAAAAATAATACAGTAAGCGAATAGTAACTAGTAGTGTCAAAGAAAACTGTTCTAAAAGATGAAAAACTTTAATTTTCAGGAGATGTGATTTTTTAATGCACCAGCCGTGTAGCTGGTTCTTTCTGTTTATTATTTTCAATAATGAATCTTTTTGTTATTGACTAAAATTTAACATTCTCTCCATTTGAAGTCTGAGGATTTTCATTTCAAAATACGTAGAAATAATTTTTAAAAAATATATATGTTTTTATAAATAAAAGAGAATATTTAAATCACTTCCAGTGGTCAGTATGTTTTGAAATTGGTTTTAATATTTTCAGGAAATAATCTTGTTTCATAATTTTTTTTTTTATTGAATATTTTTAACCAAAAATAGTAACATTCCATGCTCGGGTATGCTGGTGGCTTGGTCCTTTTAAGTGAAGACACAGAAAAAATAAAACTAAATACAACTTTAATAAAAGCCTCTAAAGGAGTGGAACTCCAAGTAAATATGTATAAGATAAAATATATAGTAGCTTCAGAAACTATGATGATTTCGGTGATATAGTTATAGAAGAGAATATGTATGATCATATAAACAATAATTAGGAAAAACAAAATTGAAGAGGAAATAAGTCTGTTTTTGTATTGCAAAATTATTTAATTCATGTCTTCTGTCCTGAAACTTAAACTGAAGTTTTTTGTGGATTTCAAACATGGCCACTTCAATTTCTTAAGGTTTTGAAAATAAAGCAATGTATAAAGTGGGCGGTGGTCAATGGATTGAAGTATGTTGACAGTGATTGGTGGTATCGGCATCGAACCTTTATGTTTTCTGAGCCTTTATTATTTTAAAACGGCCATGATACCCTTAATAAATTTACATATTGTAACAAAAGCCTTCTTAGCTTTTCCTGTATTCTGAACCTCGATATAACAAACTATATGCAAACTTGATCATCTAACATGATTAAATGTATGGATTACTTACATATTTAAATTAAGACCAAAGAGAACTATTTTTTTATTAAATAATCACTATAATTATTTACTTAAGGCTCGAGGACTGAGCATGGAGGGCATTTACAGAATATCTGGCTTCGCTGATGAAATGGATACTCTGCGCATGTCTCTTGAGAAAGGTAAGATTATAACTCTTTCTTATTATAATGGATTAATAATTGACTAAATCGAACGTCTAACGACGTAGATAAATTGAAGAGAAGTTGGTTGGTGTGTTCAGTCAAACAATAAAGTAAATTAAATAAATGATTTTTTTTTTTTCTGATATTTCGGTCCAGGTTTCAGGCCTTCATCTAAGTAGAGTAAGTTTACTCTGTCTACATGTTATTAGAATATAATAAGTTTACTCTGATACATGTTATCAGATGGTTCCATATGAATTTTGACGAATTGAAAGTTATGAATATGGCTCATCTGATTTGGGAGATTATAATGATTAATGAATTGTTTCAGATGGTGAGAATGCTGATATAACTGCTGAAGTTTATGATAACATAAATGTAGTCGCTGGTATTCTGAAACAATATTTCAGACTGTTGCCAATCCCACTGCTTACCTATGAAGTGCACCCAATACTCCTTAGGGCAGTGCGTGAGTATCAATTTTCTTGTCAATCTGTTTTGTTTTTTAAATTATTTTAGTATATTTATTAATTTTTTATTATGTTTATGATGGCAAGTTTTTCTTAAGTTTATAGATTTTTTCTTTCTTTATATCTCCTGCAGTCAAAAGGAGAAGAAATAAAATTCTTTGAAATAATATCTGATGATTAATGAAAAAAATTTAATGTTATTCCAGAGTTTGGTACGCTACGAGAACAGATCCGAGCGACCAAGGATGCACTCTCATTGTTACCCCCAGCACACTACAACACACTGAAATATCTAATGGCCCATCTTGCCAAGTCAGTATCTTAATTATGTCCATATTTAATTCTATCTTTCTTTTCTTTTCTTAAAAATTGTTGGCATTTCATAGTGTAGGTTTCATAAATTTACTAATAAAAATATTAAGAACGCATTCTATACTTACATAATACAGTTAAATGCGATGAGCCATGCTCACTATTACAAAAAATTAGAGAATCAGACTTTTTACCTACTAGTTCTACAGCCCTACCTTAAGGCGTACGTTATAAAAATTTATTTCGTTTTAAAGAGCTCTTTTCACACTTCTTAGCTTGTTTTTTCCTCTATTGTACACAAGGTCTGGCTATTTAGCTGTGTGATTTTATGTTTCCATTGGTACTTGTGTCCTACGTGGCCTCTATGGACTGCTATCTGCCAATGTTTATAACCTGAACACTGATAATTCTGATAAGGCACTGATAATATCTATCTCCGTATTCATATTAATGGAAATCGGAAACAAATGTAATAATAACAAAACACTTTTAATTTACAACATATATATAAAACAATTTTATTTTACATTTTATACAAAATACAACATATATACATATAAAACCTTACATCCCAAACAGACAATATGCAAACATAAAATTTCTATTCATGAATTGAATTTTAGTAGAAGTGAATATTAGTGCCTAGTGTTTAAGTATTAACATAAAAAATAAATGCTTCTTCTTTATTGCCTTGTTATATTTTTCCTTTAGCCAGGTTTTGTTTTTGCTTTCTGTAAATATACAATATATATATATTTTTGTTCTCTTTACTCACATTACAAATATAACTATTCTTGAGAAGATAATATTTTTATTTTTTAATATTTACAGATTATTTTTTAAATTACTATATATATTAGAATTTTTATTAAGTTAGCTCATTGTTTAAGTTTTTAACACCCAATATATTTTTTCTTTTCTCCAGGTTTTGATTTTTCTTTCTATATATAATATATGTATTTTTTTGTTTTTGTTTCTCACATTATAACTATAACTATTCTTGGAAGGATTTTATTTTTTTAGTTGTTTACATATTATTATTTAAATTATGGTGTATATTGTTAGAATTTTTATTAAGTTAGTTTTTGGTCAGATATGTATTTTTTTATTTCTTTATCATTGTTGTTCTGAAGAGACTTTGTCCCAGAATAAAGTTTCTTTTCTATTCTATTCTTTAGTTTTTTCTCTAGAGAAAAGTGTTGGTTATAAAGTAGGCTAATGATTCTGGTATGGTTAAAAAACTTAAGAGAAACCCTTTTAACATGTTCTCTGCAGAGCAACATATTCAAAAACGGTTTCACCACGCTCATCCTCAAAGCTAAATACCTTCAAAAATATAAAAATACTACAACTTTGATCGTATGTAGCAGAGGTAAAACAAAAACGTTCTATGAATTAATACATAGCTGATGCATACTAGATTACTTCAACCGATGAGGTAGCTAGTTTTTAACAGAGAACGTGTCAACCTGCATGAAACCTTTAATTATCAAAATAATAATCAACTTCATGAGATTGAAAGGATGCTTAACAAATCAAAATGTTAAAAAAAAAAAAAAAAAATAGTCTGACTAGGTTTGAATATAATTTTCCAGCATAAGCTATTTCCCAACGGTCTCCTTTAAGTTGTTAGTTTATAATTTGATTGTATTATTAAAAACATATTTAGGTATTTGTAATTTTCTAAATGAAAATTAACTGTTGTTTTCATTTATCCATGCGATCCCTCCCTCCTCCCCCCCACCATTATGCCAGATATGTATTTAAAAGTTGAAGTGCATGTATTATAAGTATTTATAAGATGTTGAACTGACTCATTAAAGTGTGTATTATTTACATTATTTAAATTGATGTTACAGGGTCGACGAACAGCAACAATTGAACAAAATGAGCGCTTACAACCTGAGCACCGTTTTCGCACCCACATTGATGCCTCCCCCGACGACTGGCTCTCATCATCAGATCCCAGACATGTCAGGCGAGATCAAAGCTATTTGCCTCCTTATACAGCACCATGTAGCTATCTTCTAAGAAAAGAAAAGAAGTACGCGTTTATTCCTTGCCGCTAAACATTCCTTTTTATTTTTATTTTAAAGGACAATATAGTTTGATGATATAGTTTTATATGTATGTGTTATTTGTTGTAGGATTTTGTTTATAAAATGTGTTATTTGAATAAAATTTATCTGTTTGTATTTAGTTTATTTACCACTCTCTTTATCTAATCTTATATTTACATTTGATATTGTAATTAAAATTGTTTTTTTATAGCATAGTTCTATCGAGGGAAAGCAAAAAAATACCTTGTTTGTTATTGATAGCTAAAAAATACAATTTTAATGATTGTATATTAATACAAGTAAATTTTATACTCATATTTAAGAAAGAAAGTTAATTGAGCTTTTTTATTTATCCAACAATATTGCCATGATGGAAGATCAGTTTTTACATTTTGTTCACTCCAATACAGTTAATGGAATAAATTATATTTCGAATAAATATAAATATAAAATATCATATTTGTATAGATTATGAGTATTGTATTGCTGTAAACAAAAATGTTTGCAGTGCAGGTTGACATCATTATCATCATTGAAATTTTAACAAAAATGCAAAGCTTTGAGGTTCTGTTGTTCTTTTAATAGCTCTATTCTGTCTTTGAGGCTTTCTTTGATCTGCTATAATTTGCAATTGGAAATTTTCTTGTTTTTTTAACTGTAATTACTGTTAGTATGGAAAAAAAAGAAAGAAACTAAATGAAATGATGTTTAAGTGGTCATTAAAGGCCTGTTAAAAAAACTGGAAATTACAGAAACAACACCGCTATTTGGAAAATTTTTTAAATATTTCTTTCTTGACATTTAATAGCTAATGGTTTATAATTTAAAAAGAGATCAAAGTGTGATTGTTTAAGTATTTATATCATATCATTAACAGAAACAAATATTGGACCAATGAAATAAGAATTTTTTTTTTATGGTGTCTCCTTTCCCCTATGATACACCAGCGGGGTCATTATATGTAGCAACAAATTGATCTGATGTTTGTGTTGCTTGCTATCAAGTAAAAATTGCTCAACTTGTACAAGAAACCCGAAAGTTTTTACAAATGTGTCATCAATCATTCCAAAACATTTTTTTCTTTAGCTGTTTTAAATTATTGTACATAGAGTGTGAATATGATCTCTGAATACTATTATAAATGCCCTTTGAGACAGATTATAATATTTCTCCATGAATAAAAAAAAAAGTTTTAAAATTGGGAACTGATTTGTTCTAGGATTTTTTATACTGCACACAGGCATGACAAACAGTAACTAGATCAAGGATTTATTTTTAAAACTGCAATTACTCTGGAAGAAGACTGAAAAAAAAATTACTTATATGAAATTATGTTTAAGTGGTTTTTAAAGACAAAAGAATGTTAATTCCAGGGAAAATAATGCTATTTTTCTGAATAGGTGATTGCTTCACAACAAATATGGACTTACAAAACAAAATATTTTTTTTTCCATTTTGGGTGAGGCTTCAGTCTGAAAGTGAATAGATAATGCTATTTCATTTAATAGTTTGTGTATCCATAAAAAATTATAGCTAAAAAAATAAGTTGAGACAATTATTATATTTATGTTTTGTTAATTGAGTCATTTTTGGTTTATTATTTTCAATAATGAACGACATAAGTACAGACTTTCAATTTTGATTGACAATGTACAAAAAAAGGAGTTTTTATTATCACAACATAATTATTGTGAAGCCAACACATATAATATTGAATATTTAAAATTAAATAATTTATATGTTTTATACTTTTATATATATATACATATAATTATTTGTATAAGTATATATTGAAAATATATAAATAAAATTCAATTGAATGTATAGCCTATTTGTTTAGATTTTTAGTTTAGTTTAGAACACTGGGGGAAGGTGAGACACCATTCATAACATTTGTACATTTCATGAACTTTTTCAGCTAAAAACGAATAAGTGAAATATATCTTTGATTTCTTAGCGTTTACAACTTCAAATAAAGAATACATTTTTCATAGTCCGACTATTTTGCTGTGGAAAGTGTGATAAGAATATCACATGAAAATTGAGTGATTGAATGGCAAAATCCTAGGATATGTTGATATGTATTATTATCTTTGAATATAAATGACAAATTAAATAAAAGTAACATTTAGGTATCGATGAAATAGTTACATTCATACTAACAGGCCCTAGCCTAGTCAGCTAGCCAACTTTTCTTAGTTGATTTAAGTATATTTTATTCATTCTTGTAGCTTATTTATTATTTATTTTATTTTTTTTACCTCAAATTATTGGAAGGGAAGCTTGGCATTCACATTTCCTCAACATTTTTATTAGAAGGGGCAATCGTTCCCTCCTCCTCTTCTCCAAACTCCTGTGCCTACAAATAACGATTGTAATTGACTAATTAAAACAAAAAATTGAAGTTTTTTGTTATAATAATAAAAATGATAAATTGGATTTGAAAATCCAATAAAAAAAAAAATGTCCATCCGTCATACATGGCTTTTCTCCAAAATTACTGGTCTGATTATTTTGAAATTCGGTATCAGTCAGATGATCCCCCAAACTCTGCATTAACATAATTAATGGTAAAAATCCCTCTGGTAAATTAATAAAAGTAGTTAATTCCAATAGTGTGATTTTTTATGTTTTTTACCTAAATACAGTCGTGATTTATGTTCATAAATAAACCCAGTTGATAATGTAATAAGATATTGGTGAAACAAAAAATCTTAAATCTATGGCAAATAAAGAAGAGGAAAGATTGCGGTGGATTGATGACATATATGATCCATGCTTGAGGTCCAGAATTAGAAGACAGCAGCGCAGAATATGGATGACTGGGGGTCAAAATTGCAAGAGGTCTTGTCTTCGCACGGGACATATAAGAAGAAGATGACGACGTATTAAATTTAAAAAAAATATAATAAATACATAAAAAAATTAATGTGACAAAAGGGACTTTTTAATTAAATATAAACAGAATTTTTAAAAAGTTTAGTTATCTTACAGTTTTGTACTTATCTACTATAATAAATAAAAAGGCGATTTTAAATTAAATTTTATTTTGTAAATAGTTGAGCATGATCTCAGTCAAATCACCTACTTGCACAACCATTGCCTAAGAAACAGTATTTCCACTAAATTGTACTGAACACAAGACCCTTCATCAGTTTTTTATTTAGTAAAAAACAAATATAATTAATACTGAAGAGTATCAATTCATCTATTATTTATGATTTAATTGTTATTATCTATATGAAATAAGTCTTATTTTGTAATAGTGATAAAGTCATAATCCAAAGTGTATTCTAGAAAATGAATTTAGAGAAAAAACCCTTTATATAAGCAAAATGAAATGTAACACCAGCATATACAATGATCTGAGATATCTAACCAAGTTTTGTACTGTTTTTGCATAATTACAATGCTTACTTGCACTAAGTTTACACTTCATATAATACTTGTGGAGTGGAGAATTAACAAATGTAAAGTAATTATGAGTAAATAGGATTTTTATTCAATAAACTGTTAAATTATATTTTTTGTATTTAAATTTTGCATTTTCTATTTCCAATTAAACGCATAAAGTTAAGTATCCAATTAAAGAATAAAGTTTTCGTAATATTTAAGAAGAATATTCATCATCACTAGACAAATAAACTTTCTTAGAACTCAAGATCTCTCGGATAGATTGCATATGTTGGATGATTAAGAAACTTATTATCATAAGCAAAAATATTGTAAACAACGATCAAGTAATATTATATTTTTTGTTCATAAAATAAAGATCATCAATATATGATTTATACGCTGTATCTTGAAAATATATGAATGAATTCATCAGTTTTACTATTGTAGAAGAACTATTTTGTAAATTAAAAAGTATTAATTTAATTAATTACTAAACATTGTGACTTAATAGTATTACATATTCCATATGTACAATTCATTATTTTGTTCTTATTTATATGAATATAGCTCATGTACTTGTATTCTTTATGTAGTAAATATATATTATAAATGAAAAAAATGTAGTGTAATATAAATGATTATTTCTTTTAAATGCTGTTTGTAATTTTGTAAAATATATAATAAATAAACTTGTGTAAAAGTTTTATACATTACATCCCAAACACACCATAAAATAAACAAAATAAAAATAACAATAAATTAAGCGATGAGGGTGTAGTTAAAATAAAATAATATATCACTATTATTATTAATATTCTTGCTACTTACTTTATCCTTAATTTGTTTTAATAACGTTTTTCCTTTGGTTATTTATATCTCTCTATACTATACACATATCTCTTGTATATCTGATTAATTTCTATCTTAATGAAAACTTAAAAATTTGGTTCGAAAGTTTTAGTAATAAAATAATAATGACTGAATTGTGATGATACGTTCCACGATATAAATTACAGACTATCAACTATAATAGAAATATTCTATATCATTAACTATGAGGAAAAGATAATTTTCAAATACTATTATTAAAATGTAAAGATTTTAAATGAAAGCCTGTCAAAATTTAAAAGTTTAACGACTGAGAATGAATTATTCCTCATGAACATATATAATTTAATAGATAGAAAATTAATTACCTGCAAACTTTGAAAACAATTAAAGCAAACTGTTTTCATTTGTATCAGATATATATTCAAATAATATAAATCTGTAGTTTACAGTATATACAGAAATGAACCTCAAGACTGATTGTAAAGAAACAATGGGGTAAACTAAATAGAACTCTTCACAGTAACACATTTATTTGTCTTCTTCTATTATGTTATACAATTTATTTAAGAATAAACAAAACTATTACATATCCATAATATTTATAAATACAGTTCAATGTCGATATTATGCATTCAAAAATACATTTCACTGACTATGTACAGTTATTTAGTTATGACACTTATTAGAGAAATACATAAGACATATATTATGTATTTTTATTAATGAACACAGTTCACTGTTGGTACTTAAAGATGCATTAAAAACTTCACTTCACTCACTACGTACACTTTTAAGAAACTGATAATAAAAAATTGAACTAAATTTCCTAATTTCTAATGAAAAAAAAACTTTGAAATAATGTATAAGACATAAGAGATGTAAGATGCAAGGCATAAGAGAATCAGACATTAACTTAG